GTAGGGGAGAATGTAAGATCCTTAGCCTATATGCTAAGGAATTACACTATACTTGCTAAAGTAGTATTATACCTAAGTGTAAAAAACTCTAGTCTTAGTAGCTAAGTAGAGGGGACATAAAAACACCTTAAAACCTTATGTAGATAGCCCGGCCATGAACCTTCTTTGTTAGTCAAAGCTCTCACATTACTTTTACCGTCGCGTCACGTGTGCCCGTCTTCGGGCGGATGTATTCACTCACACGATCGCGGATCTTGCCGAGGCGGGCCAACCTACTCCTTTTGGACGCGCAATCCGTGTTCGGAACTCCGCCGTGGGAGCTCTGGAAATCTTATATCGAACCACAATCCCACCACCGACATATCTGTTGCTGCGGTTTGAGGTCTCGAGGGACGACAAGACTTCGAATCAAGCGAGAAATCCGAAAAACACCGACGCAATGGCAAGTCTGAGCCAACTGCTGCCATTCGCAGTGGCAGCTGTTGCAGTGTTGGGCGGCCTGTACTTCTTCTTGAATCGTAAGATGCACGACTCCAGAACCTGCTGCAACTCATCTAACAGGGACACAGAGAAGTCGCAGCCGAAGAACAGAAAAGTGCTCAATCCCGAAACCTTCCAAGAATTTCCCATCTCCGAGAAGACGCAGATCTCGCACAACACCGCCATCTACCGCTTCAAGCTCCCCAACGAGAACGACATCCTCGGTCTACCCATCGGACAACACATCTCTCTCGCCGCGACACTCGATGTCACCGACCCCAAGACCGGCAACACGGAGCGCAAGGAAGTCGTACGATCCTACACACCCATCTCATCCGATGTCGAGCCTGGCTATTTCGATCTCATCGTCAAGAGCTATCCTACTGGTAACATCTCGCGCCATCTCGCTACTCTCAATGTCGGCGACACGATGAAGGTCAAGGGCCCGAAGGGCGCTATGGTCTACACCCCCAACATGGTCCGGAGGTTTGGTATGATTGCTGGCGGTACTGGAATTACCCCAATGCTGCAGATTGCGCGTGCTGTCCAAAGAGGCCGCAAGAGCGGGGACAAGACTGAGGTGGATCTCATCTTTGCCAATGTCAATGAGAACGACATCCTGCTGCGTGAGGATCTGGACAAATTGGCGAAGGAGGACCCGAACTTCAGAGTCCACTACGTCCTCAACAACCCACCCGAGAACTGGTCCGGAGGTGTTGGATTCGTCACTGCTGAGATGATCAAGGTCAGACTTGATGAGCAAACCGAGCAAGCGCTAGCTCTCGTACTAACGAAACGTAGGGCCATCTCCCCGCGCCGGCTGCGGATGTCAAGATTCTCGTCTGCGGTCCACCGCCCATGGTCTCTGCCATCAAGAAAGCCACAGAGTCTCTCGGATACACCAAGGCCCGCCCAGTCAGCAAGCTCGAAGATCAAGTCTTTGCATTCTAAGCAATCTAGGCCACACTCCTGGAGTCTTCTCGATTCAAATGACAGGCATCAAATCTGTGTTGCTGTAAAAAGGCCGACCTTCCGGCATTCTCAGTACCTGCGAGACGCTTTAGATTTGAGAGCACTTCATGCTCTTCTCCCATATCAACCCCTCTACGTCGCGCGGAGATTGCTGCATTCAAGCGGTTCCTGAGTCCAAGATGGGCATTCAAATACGCATTCGATTTGCTGCGGCCGACGTCCGGCTCGCTTTGCATGCTTCTCCATGCGAGCCACAGGACGAGCCAATGTACATTCGAGACTCGACAGTAACATAGTACAGATAGAACTGGCAGGACCGTGGCTGCCCACCTTGGTCCACCGTGTAGCACCCCGTGTCCTGTTCAGGGTACCATCGACGAAGCCATTGGCTAATGGTGTGTGGCAGGCAATGTCTGCGAGTTGACTTATGTCCAGCAGCCCTCGTATTTACAGAAAGATAATTGCCATGGTAGGCTCGAAGTTCCGAAACTGACCTGAAACTAAAAGATCGAACACTACAAAAAGAAAGGCCCGCGCTGTCTTGCTTTCACCTCTCCTGCCCGATCAAACATGTATTGGTCCATCATCGCCAGACGAAGTCTATACTGGTTACTATTCGCGCCTTTGGCGGCAGCCACTGCGTCTGTTGAGAACATCCCCAGCGAGGAATGGACCTCAGAGCAACTTAGTGGCCGTGAAAACAACTTTGGGTCACAGAATGAATCTTGTGCTGCTGCTGTACGTGTCTGTCTGAGAGCCGATTGACCAGCCGTTGCTGAAGTAGTCACAGTGTGCAACGCTTCATAGGACCTTCGACACCGATCTAGCCAATACAATAGCCTACGGCCTCGACAAAGCCGCATACTGGTCTTTTTTCCAGGCTGAGGTACATCCAGCTTGCTTCATCCAGCCCACCAACGCCCAAGACGTCGCAGAAATACTCCAGGTCGTTCGACGTACACAATGTCCTTTCGCCGTGAAGAGCGGTGGCCATGCAGCGTTCGCGGGAGCTTCCAGCTCACCCGGTGGAATCACGATTGACCTCCATCGACTCAACGAACTGAGCCTCTCAGACGACAAGACCATCACCCACGTTGGAACAGGTAATCGCTGGATCGACGTCTACGACTACCTCACACCCAAGAGCCTCTCCGTCATCGGCGGCCGAGTCGCATCTATTGGTACCGGAGGCCTCACCCTCGGCGGTGGAATCTCTTTCTTCTCAGGCCGCCACGGTTGGGCATGTGATAACGTCGTCAACTACGAGCTCGTGACCGCCTCTTCCGAAATCCTCGAAGTCAACCACGCCTCCCACCCCGATCTGTACTTCGCCCTCCGAGGCGGCGGAAACAACTTCGGAATCATAACCCGCCTCGATCTCAACACTATCCCGCAAAATCCCTTCTGGGGAGGAAGTCTCACCACTTCCTACTCCAGCAAGACCCGAAATGCCGCCATCGAAGCTCTATACCACTACGCCTACAATGCCCCCAAAGACATCGATTCCGCCCTCTACGTCGCTTTCGCATACAGCCAACTGCCTCTCGGCTCCTACCTCATCGTCTCCGAACTCACCCAAGCAGCCAACATCCCAAACCCCCCCATCTTCGAAAACTTCACCTCCCTGCCCGACCGCCTCTTCTCCACCCTCCGCCGAGACACCGACATGCCCTCCCTCGCCCGCGAAATCAACGCCGCCGAACCCAACGGCTTCCGCGAGACGTACTGGACGCGCACGTTCACGCTCCCCTCGTCGGAGATCATCTACGACGTCCTCGAAATTTTTCAAGACGAAGTCGAAGCGATCAAGCATGTCCTGGGCTGTCTCCCGGCTCTGACGCTCCAGATCATCCCCGAGAATGTCATGGGGCATTTCGCCCAGAACGGCGGGAACGCGCTCGGAATCTCCCCCGACCAGGGGCCTTTGCTGCTCGTGGATATCACGGTTCAATGGTCCGATGCTGGGAAAGACGACGCGGTACTCGGCGCGGCGAGGAATGCGATAAATAGGAGCGTGGCTCGAGCGAAGGAAATCGGAGCTTATCATCCGTATATCTATCAAAACTACGCGGCGCAAGAACAAGAAGTATTCGAGGGGTATGGCGAGGAGAATCTAGAGCAATTGAGGCAGATTTCTAAACGATGGGATCCGGAAGGTGTTTTTCAGGTATTACAGCCGGGGTACTTCAAGCTGTGGTGAAAGAGAAACAGATACGGTAACAGAATGCGATGAGTGACAATATAACAATGTTCAATGGTATCCATATTCATAGCTCAGTCCAGTCCATCGAGGACGAGTCTCTCCGTGCCCCTCGCAAAACGCCAAACCACCCCGAGCCCGACAACCCGTCCCTTTTGATTGCCCTGGCGATGGCCCAAAGCATTTCTATAATCAAGCAATCCTTTTCCTCAACGCCCGGCTAGTGACGGGAGAGCTTCCGCTTTGCGCCTCGCTGTGTGTGTATGCAAAAGACCACGTCAGCCTAAAACAATGCAACCCCAAACTTCTTTCCCTCTTCTGATAATAGCAAAGCTCACGCTGTAGCCAGATGTCCCCAAGTTCGCTGCCAGTTCTCAATGCCCTTCTGCAGTTTTTCCGCCATTTCAGCGCTGCTGAGGTCCTCGAACCGTCTGTCATCCGTTGAAGTGATGGAAGCTGCGCTCGTAGGAGCTTGTGCTGTACCATTCACGGCCGTCAGCGCGGCGTGTTCCACACTCATCGGGCTCTTCCCACCACCAATACCATTGCTTGTCAATTCGTCTTGCTCTTTCGTGACAAATGCACTCATGTTCTTCAGCACAGCCTGCATGTTTGTAAATGTCCGTTCAATCTCTTCCGTCTGGCCTTTTGCGCCGTTGCCATTGGCGAGATTCTTCTTGCCTCTGCCGAACTTTCCTTTGCCAGTGCCATTCTCTGGAGGCCCAGAGACGCCCGGGCTGTTCTTCGCTGCCCCATTGTGGCTCCCGTTCGCGTCTACATTTGCTGCAGCTTCTGAGGCGTCATCGCCGCTGCCTGAAGTGTGATTTTGACGCTTCCTACCATGCGGAGAGGACGTAGATTGCTCGAACCGATTCTTGGTGTATTGATTGTTGCCCAGTTTCTTCCCCGGCTTCTTGCCAGGGCCTCGCTTCGGCGGGGCTTTCTCTGCAGGCGGCGGAGATGCTGGTTGCGATAAAGGCGCTGGAGGCGAGGCGTTATCGCTTGTCGTAGGCTTCGGGGTGGTGTCTCCGTTCGCATCCGCTTCTGTTGGCCAGGTCAGTCAGCGGCTCGACTACCGAGCATTGTCTCGACTTACCGTCGTTCCGCCTGCTTCTAGCACGCTCCTGTCTGCGACCTGCAGCTTCCGAGCGCGCTTTATCCCGCTCTTTGTCCTTCTTCTCTTGCTCTGCTTGCCGGGCAGAGAGCGCTGCCTCTGCCTTGGCCTTCTTCGTCTTGCTGACAGCTACCGTGCCTGCATCGTCTGAATCGTCATTCCTTTCAGCGGATGGTGCAGAGTCTGAGCTCCTTCGCTGACGCTTATTGTCTTGCTTGTTGCTGGCGGAACACGTTAGCTTCTCATCAAGGCATTGCGGCCGGAGCATTTGACTCACTCATCGCAGCTTTCATCTCGACCCCTCTTGCCACTGCGCCTCTCACTGCCTGCGCCTCCTTCGCCCTCCCGCTTGCTCTCTTCGATGGCTCTGTAGAGCTGCTCCAACTCCTCATCGTTGTTTCTGCTCCTCGTCGTGCCTCGTCGCTTGCCTGTGAGGGGGTCCACGCTCGCCCGCGACGCAGCCAACTCCCGCTCTTTCTTCGCTTTCTCGTCATGTTTGCTAACGGAAGCTTTACGGGTCGACTTTGCGTTGAGGTTGGGATGCAAGGGTAGGTATAGGCTGTGATCCTGCCTATTGTTTTCGGTCTTAGCAGCTGCTTTCCGCGTAGGTGCATCATGATAGCGCGCCATGCTGGGAAAGTTCAAATTCGCCCTCTTGGAAGTGCAATGTCTTGTTCAGGTTGACTGGTGGCGGGCAGAGTGAATTTGTGATTGTTTTGTCCTTCAAGCGCGGCAAGAACGACCTGTGACGCAGCCTCGCGCCTGCCATTCTTGTCGTCCGCGACGATACGACAGCAAACAATGAAGTGATCGTGCCAGGGTGTTCTGAGCAAGGGTATCAACGCAACAAGAGATGGGAAACGTACCCTTTGCTGTCCCTCCGGATTGCATGCATTTTTGGCTGGCATAGGAAGCAGAAATACCGATCCGGCACCTGACTGTCGTCTATGATACCGACACAGCCGCCATGCTGCCAGGTATCGCATCCGTCGCATGAGATGAAGAGCGCACCGGCGTCCTCGAGCTGCGTGGAGGGGATGTGCTTGAAGGCCTCGCTCGAGGGCAGGCCAGGATATTCCGGATATCCACATATGCAGCGTGTGATCTCATCATCTCCTTCTGCTTGCCCGTCGTTGTCATTGTCTTCGGTAGGCTCCGGCTTGGAGCTGTCTTCCTTCTGGGCGGGCGGTTGGCGTTGGCTGCGGCGGGCAACTGGAGGCTCACTGACCTCCTCGCTCGAGAGAGATCTTGGAGTTGCTGATTTATGGGTCTGATTGGCGCGCGCGCCACGATCTTGTCGCGATGAATGGGAGGAGGTGGTGCTGGAGGCAGCGGGTTGCGCTCCTCGGGCAGATCGGCGAACTGGCGACGGCATGGTTGAAAATGATGTATGAATAGGAGTCAACAGACGAAGTATGTGCCGAAAGAGGCCGACGATGCTATCGTCGAGCCGCTGTCCAGCAGAATGCCCTCGACGCCCGTGGGAGGAGCAGGAACCGTGCGTGCGCACGCGCAGGTGGGAGCTCTCCGGGGCAGTGGTGAGGGAGGGTTCTGAAAAGGACGATCAGTATCGACGAGTCGGCAGCATGTCAGGACACGGCTGGGCGAGTCTCGTGGTGGAGGGATGGGTGGAGGGGCGGTGGTGGGCGGTGGCAGAGGGCGAGGAGTGCAAGCAGATCACACTGCAGCGTTCCTCTCTCTCTCTCAATTGACGAGCCCTGGGCTCGGCTTCTTCGCTCACGCTGTGCCGACATGAGCTAGCCGCTTTCGGGATTGGTCCCTCTGTAGAGCCTGAGGCATCAACTCTGCGGTAGTTGCCCAGCTGGCCTCAGCCGGGTGCGATGTGTTGAAGGCTAAGGGCGAGGAGCAAGTCTCGTTGAAAGACGGACTGCTGGAGGCGAGAAGGCGCCGGCATGTTGGATGTCGGTATGCTGGGTAGGAGACGAGGAGGGAGTGGAGGGCAAAAGGAAGCTCGCGGGCAGGAGGGAGCAAGAACTTGCTGCTGGAGGACCCTTTTCTTGCTGCAGCTCCAGCAGCGGGAAGAGCCACGGAGGCGTCCGGCGCGGAGAAGGGTAAGGTAAGGTAAGGTACGGGGTCGCAGGCGTCGACTGGTGCCGCAAGGGCGCGTTGGGGGGGGGGGGGCAAGAAATGGGGTGGGATATGATCCCAAAACAACGAGACACGACCGGGCATCAATAAAGCGCCGTGATGCCATAATGGAAGCGAGCGAGCGGGCGCGCCGGCTATCGGGATCATCATCTGCCAAGACTGCCCCGAAGCTTGCTGACTACTCGGATTACCTACGAGCGACCTGACCATGGAGCAGGAGACCCGCGCGCGACGCCTAGATCGGCTCCTTACCAGCACAAGTTCTTACTACGACTTTGATCATTATTGACCATGTTTCCGTCTGCTCAGGCCTTCCTCAATGCTTGTTCAGATAGGCGTTTGCATGCCCTATCTCGCGAAGTAACAGTCTGCGCGGGAGACCTACTCTCTGGGGTATCGTGCGGTAGGGCGTATCTGACAGTGATTGCTGAAGTAATCGTGCAGTCTCCATGAGGTACTGATGAAGAAGAATCACACATTCTCACCTTGCGTCCTGCGTTTCATACCGTTGCTTGCATCTGCAAAGTCACTATGGAGGAGGAGACATCACCCGAAGCCGCCTCAGCAAGACCGGTCTTCGGCCAGGATGCCCAAGAGGAAGTCGTCCTGCACCAACTCGGATATGAGCAGGAACTCAAGCGATCCTTCTCCTTCCTGGGCATGGTCGGCTTCAGCTTCTCCATAGTCACCTGCTGGTCTGCCCTCTCCGGAGTCCTCATCATTGGAGCCGAGTCGGGCGGTCCGTCGGTCATGGTCTGGTCCTGGATCGCCATCTGCATCGTGTCCCTCACCGTAGCGTACAGCATGGCGGAGATGTGTTCGGCGTACCCAGTGGCCGGAGGACAGTACAGCTGGGTCGCCGCTTTGGCTCCAAAGAAGGCGGCGAGAGGTCTGAGCTACGTCTGTGGGTGGTTCATGTTGATCGGAATCATTGCCATGGGCGCGACAAACAACTCCATCGTGGCCAATTTCCTCTTGGGCGTTGCCAATCTCAATAATCCAGGCTATGTCATCCAGCGCTGGTATGTACTCTGACGCGGGTCTGCGCACATGTCGCGTGACTGATGGCCCGGGCAGGCACGCTGTATTGGTGGCATATGGTATCAGCATCTTCAGTCTATGCTTCAATGTCTTCGGTCCGCGTTTGTTGGAAAGAGTGTCCCGAGGTCTGCTCATTTGGAATGTCTGTGGCTTTATCGGTACGTGGTTGAATGTGAAAGCCACATAGCGAAAACAGCATCCTAATGCTTCTTAGTCATTATCGTGACGATATTGGCAGTCAACGACCACAAGCAGCCAGCTTCATTCGTCTTCCGGGACTTTGTGGACTTGACTGGCTTCAGTCCAGCCTACACAGCCGTCATCGGCCTGCTTCAATCAGCCTTTGGCATGTGTTGCTACGACGCTCCCGCACACATGACTGAAGAGATCCACAATGCACGGAAAGAAGCACCACGAGCTATTGTCATGTCCGTCTACATTGGCGCTGTGACGGGCTTCGTCTTCCTCATCGCAGCCTGCTTCTGCATCGGCGACATCGAATCCACGGCCGAATCAACGACAGGCGTCCCCATCATCGAAATCTTTTACAACAGTACTCAGAACTCTGCCGGAGCAAGTTGCCTCACAGTATTCCTGATTGTCATCGGATTCGGGGCCTCCAACGCCCTCACAGCAGAAGGTGGGCGCGCGGTGTATGCGTTCGCTCGAGGTATGGATCCGAAGTCTCCCATTTCCAGTGCGTAAAAGGGAGATTCTAAAAATTCGATAGACCGCGGCCTCCCCTTCTCCAACCTCTTTGCCAAAGTCGAACCCAAAAAGCACATTCCAATCTTCGCCCTCTGCTTGACCGTCCTAGGACAGATGGCCTTGAACAGCATCTACTTCGGCACCGTAACCGGCTTCAACACCGTCATTTCCATCGCGACGGAGGGATTCTGTAAGCACATCTTCCAAAACTCATCATGTAATAAGCACAGGGACGCCGCCCACTGACCGACCCAAAAACACACAGACCTCTCCTACGCCCTCCCCCTCCTGGCACGACTTCTCAGCCTCCTCCTCCCCAGCTCCCGCGCAGCCGCAATGCAAATCAAAGGCGGCCTCTATCATCTCGGCGTCCTCAGCATCCCCTTCAACATCATTGGCTTCCTTTATCTCACCTTCGCATCGATAACTTTTAATTTCCCCACTGTATACCCCGTGGACTCGGAGAACATGAACTATACTTCTGCCGCGGTGGGCGTCATCATGCTGATTGCGGTCATTACTTGGATCACGACCGGAAGGAAGCAATTCCGAGGGCCGGAAGTGGTGCTAGAGGGACAAGAAGGAGCTGTCGTTAGCGAAGCAGAGTCACGGGAAGAGATACCGAAAGCTGAAAAAGGCGCGGATTGAAAGCTGAGAGGTCGTAATAGTAGAGATTGAGCATGCTTCGAATGCTTCCATCATAGCCGCTTGATCCTATCGTCGCGCTTTAGAAATTATACAAAGGGAGGATTTGGGAGTATCAAAATCGCCTCCTCCACTCAATCCATTCATTAGCTGGACTGCCAAACATCGCAGGTCCACATGATATTCCTCTCCGGCAACCTATAGATTAAGAGTCCTGTCCAGAAACCCACCTCAGGGCAATCACTCATCCCGTCATAACTTGGACGCCTCCTCCCGTTCCTTCTCCGCAAGGACTTTCAACTCCTCCGCCCCGGGCTTTCCCTCGTCGGCCTGCTCCTCCGCCAACCATCCCTTACACATACTCACCGCCCTCTCCCACTTCTTGAACATCTTCCGACTGCTTGCCTCATCCATCTTCGGTTCAAAGACCGTCTGTCCGGCAGTGTTGACTTCTTTCAGCTCCCCGAAATCTTTCCACACACCCACGGCGAATCCGGCCGCGATGGCTGCTCCGAGGGCCGTGGTTTCCCTCATCTTGGGGCGAACGATGGGGATCGCGACGAGGTCGGCTTGGGTCTGCATGCACAGGGCGGAATTGCTCATGCCGCCGTCGACGTTGAGTTGGCTGAGCTTGTGCCCGCTGTCCTTTTCCATGGCGTCGAGGATGGCTTTTGTTTGGAAGCAGACGGCTTCGAGCGTGGCGCGGGCGATGTGGCCGCGTTCCGTGTGGTGTGTTATACCGACTGTGTCATGTTAGTTCGACCACCATTCTGACTGCATGCTGACTTACACATTGTTCCGTGGGCATCATCGATCCAGTAAGGCGCAAAGAGACCGCTAAACGCTGTGACGAACACGAGGCCGCCGTTGTCCTTGACGGTCTCTGCCAGCTCGGTGATCTTATGCGATGCGTGGCTAAAGCCGAGGTTGTGCATGAGGAATTTCACTCCGGATCCTGCGACTGCGATTGATCCCTCGAGGGCGTACACTGGCTTGCCGTCAAAGTCGTAGGCCACAGTAGCGAGCAATCCATGTGTCGAGATGACCGGCTTCTCTCCAACGTTGTATAGCAAGAAGCAGCCCGTACCGTAAGTATTCTTCGCCGCACCAGGCTCAAATCCCTTCTGGCCCACCAGTGCAGCCGACTGATCTCCCAAGCATCCAGTGATCGGCCATCCTTTCAGAGAACCCGACTCAATCTGACCAAATGCCTTCTTATCCGCTGAGCGTACAATTTCGGGCATGTGAATCTTGCGCAGGTCGAACTCGTATGAGAAGAAGTCGAGCATGTGGTCGCTGTACTTTAGTTTGTGGATATCCATGAACATGGTTCTGCTAGCATTCGTCGGATCCGACACGAAGCGATTCCTCGAAGGGCCGCCGTTAAGCTTGTATATTAACCAGGAATCGATCGTACCAAAGGCGAGGTTACCGGCCTCGTAGACCTTTCGAACCTTCTCGACATTCTTGAGCAGCCATAATAGCTTGGTAACAGAAGGATATGTGGAGATCGGGAGGCCACAGATGTCCGTGAGCTTGTCACTGCCTGGTCGAGCTTTGAGCTCTCTTGCCAGTGCTGCTGTCCTTGTGTCTGTCCACACGATTGCATTGTGCAGAGGCTCGCCTGTCTTGACATCCCATAGCACAGTTGTCTCTCGCTGATCGGTGATGCCCACGGCCTTGATGCTCTCCTTCTTGTGACCATCCTTTTCGAAGATCTTGAGCGCGCCCTCTATACAGTTCTCCACCGACTTAATAATCTCGTCTGGATCATGCTCGTGCCATCTAACGATGTGTTAGTCGCATAACAATCCGGAATGGTAGCGAGGAATGCTGACCCTGGATTCGGATAGATCTGACTAAACTCTTCCTGATGGATAGCTACAGGCTCGCCGCGCTTGTCGAAGATGAGAAACCGAGTACTGGTCGTGCCTTGATCAATACTGCCAACAAAAACCTCATCCGAAGATGCCATTCTCGCAGACTGTGCTCGAATCACGCGCGTAGAGTAGGACGGAAACAAAGGAGGAGAGAATGCTTGCCAGAATGAAGTAGGCGCGCCAAATGCGGACGCGCTTTGTTTATGAGCAACATGTAATCGGACCGCACCACGACGGTGGAGCTGGCGAGCGCGAGCATGTGATGATGAGGGGCTCAATGAGCTCCACCTCCAGCTCTGGAGCCAGTGCCCGCATCTGACCTCATGGCATGTGATCATTGGACATCGGCTGAGACAAGATACGTAGCGCCGCTGTCAGCTCCCAGCCTGCATCTCCTGGATGCGCGTGGCGGCTTAGGCACTTGTTCCGCCTCCGGTACAAGGACGACTGGCGGCAAGCTTAGCAATTCTGCAATGGAACAGCTGTCGAATGTGATCAATTCTGCGCGTTCCGAACGTGTTGGTGATTAATGCAAATTTCGAATGTCTCGTGGAGCAACCTGGAAATCCGGCGACGTGAAATTTGGATTTTCGGCCACAGCCGAGAGCGGAGCGGTCTGCTGCCAAGACCTGGAGTAACCGGGATTCTCCAGACTTTCGTGGAGCGATTGCGGGTCTTGAATGCGGAGAGTGTGGAGAGCAACCGGAATGCTGAACAATCCTTGTTGTCTTCTGCAAACGGCTGTGCGTGCATGGGATGGGTTGTTCTGGCCGTTGTGGCCACGCGAGACAATATGCATGCTTGAACGCTTCTATAGAACGACTAGAGGCTCCTGATTATGCTAAAACGCAGGTTCAAACTCGCAAAGCTCACACAGGTGTTGCGGCGTCTCTTGCTCCGTGCCTCTGCGAAGCGGGATGCCGTGATCATTTTGAGTTGGTATTTGTGTGTGTGTGTGATTCGGCTGTCCACTATCGGACACGGCAGGACATGCAACGTGAGGTCCTCCAAATGCCGGCACAATCCTTCCCGGATTATCCGTCGTCCGTGTCTAATTTCTTATTCGATTCAACCAGTGACATGCACAGCGATGCTGGCCTTTGCGGGGAACCTGGATGGCGTCCGATGATATTGTGATACGGCTGTCGGCGGCAATTGATGACCGTCCATTATCCATCGCTGGAGACTTCGCTTGTTCGCGAATTTGTGTGCCAACCTGATCAGCTGCGCACTGCACTGCTCTTCAAACTGCCCCGCCGAGGACTTTACTGTCTCGGACAGGACATGGTACAGCAGCATAGCAGGCACCTGGATGCCATCAAGCCACATTTTAATTACGACTCACAGACGCGTATCCTGGCTTTGTTCAGTGTGCCTTCAAAGCAAATCGGGCTGCCAAAGTCGACCGCACATAGCGGAAGACGGCCGGATAATGGCATGGAGATCAAGTAGAGACGCAAATAGGCAGCCAATGAGTCAATCGATGGTGTCCTCAATGCCACGACATGTCGCATCCATCGTCCTGCCTTCATCAAGCGTGGTTGAGTGCAGCTGCATGCGGCGTGGTGTCTTTGTTCATCGTGCCCCCGGCCCTGGCGGGCTGGGCGAACCAGTTCTGGCCTGGCTTCGAAGTATGGGAAGGATTGCTTCGAGGGAGCTGTTGGTCAATACTCCTTTTGCTTGCATTGCCACGCTGGCTTACCGTGACTTCCATCGTGCAGCTCAGCTCAGCGGCAGCACTTGCACGCAAGCGATCATTCATACTGCGGCCCGCGAAACATTCATCCTGGCCTTCCGGGGGGCAATAATCGGCGGAGCAGCACTGCAGCAAAGCGAGCACCTTCATACCTCATAAGGAGTCTCCGTCCCCCGCGAGGCTTGGAAGGTCACAAATACCTCCTCAAGTCCACGGCAGTCTGGTTTCTCCAATCATTGATAGGGTAATCTATCTTCATCAGCTCGTCAGCTTTACACGATTGGATCTCACCTCAGTCCAGTGACGAGGACCCCTCACGGCCGGGAGAAGTCGCGTGTTGTGTCGACAGTCAAGAAGGCTGCTCACCCAAGGTTGAGAAAACAACCAGAGAGTGGCAATCACAGTCTGTCCAGTTAGACGCAGCTCGTCCTTCCTGCTATACAGAACATGGGCGAAGCCAATTATACAGAGGAACTGTCACATAAGGTGCGAGACCCCATATTGAACCCACCCCTGATGAGTCCTGAATGGAGCAATGGAGGCCATAGATCTTCTATCTATTCTCCGCAATAGGCATGCTGGAAGGAATAGAAATACTGGCTGATGTTCTTCTCTTCGATCATGTATCCTTGTGACATGAGCTGATGTTCCGCTTCGACGTCGCAGGCAGGAGGAATGGATTTCGTTCCCATGCACGACAACATCAGAATTTTGCACAGAGAGCCACGTCTCTCCGGTTCTGCGTCCGGATCTGATAATGGTACTACGTTGGCAGGCATCACGCCCCTTTCACCGGCACCCACATATGCAGAGACTGGAGCACCGATCAATCGGTCGATGACTGCAGAGGCGAAGAAAGAGTCGAACGCAGGTATGTGTCTTATCCTGGGCCATAAGGTAGCCGATCGAGCTGCTTTTCCGACCATACACCTTCGAGCTATCTGCTAACTCTGTCCGTTGCTGTAGGACTTCGGTGGTCGAGAATTCGCCGACTACTTAGAGAGCCATTCTCGGAGTTCATGGGCACTTTCATACTCATAATGTTCGGAGATGGCGTCGTTGCGCAAGTCCTTCTCAGTGGCGGCTTAAGTGGTTCAGCAGCAGCCAGAGGCAACTACCAATCAATCTCGTGGGGATGGGGCATCGGTGTGATGCTTGGCGTGTACAGTTCGGGTATTTCTGGAGCCCATATCAACCCGGCCGTCACTCTTGCTAATTGCATCTTCCGTGAGGTGGGTTCTTTGATGAAATCTCGCCCTGAACAATGCTGATGCAAAGGCAGTTCCCTTGGAGAAAATTCCCAGTCTATATGCTTGCCCAGGTTCTGGGTGCCATGTGCGCTGCTGCAGTCGTGTACGGCAATTACAAGTCGGCGATTGATACCTTCGAGGGCGGAGCTGGAATCCGCACAGTGCCTGGGTATTCGGAGAACGCGACTGCTGGACTCTTCTGCACGTATCCAGCTGAGTTCATGTCCAACACTGGACAGTTCTTTTCGGAGTTCGTTGCCAGCACCTTATTGATGTTCCTCATTTACGCCATCAAAGATGACCATAATATTGGAGCGGGAAAGGTACGTTTAGACCGAGCCATCAAGCGCCAGGACAGCACAGTCACCAGTCGGGATAGAACTTAGGTGGCGGTCGATGCTGCAAACGTACTGACGCCTGCACAGTTGACCCCTTTGGCCCTGTTCTTCATCATTTTCGGCATCGGCGCTTGCTTTGGCTGGGAGACGTAAGTACGCCCATGATCGGAGCCATGGCCATCATGAGATAAGCCAAAGTTACTTGCTGACCACCGGGTGTAGTGGCTACGCGATCAATCTTGCGCGTGATTTCGGTCCTCGCCTAGTCTCGTATATGGTCGGGTATGGCCCAGACGTCTGGCGCGCCGGCAACTATTATTTCTGGGTTCCCATGGTGGCTCCATTCTGCGGCTGCACATTTGGCGGCTTCCTATACGATGTCCTTCTCTTCACGGGCAAGAGCCCAATCAACACGCCATACTGGGGTCTTTATCGCTTCATTCCAGGCATGACGAACAAATACGATGGCCTCAAGTTCGAGCCAGAGGATGTGAAAGCAGATGACGAGGAGAAGCTGCAGAGGCAAATGTCGGATTAAGTCGGGCGATGGAAGATGATTTCGTACCGACTATACGTTTGTTGGCCACTCCTCGAAAAGGACCCGATGTAGATGGTCCAACATATTGGATGCAAGTCCAGGAATGCGAGTGCAACTCAGCGCCGCTATCGCGTTGAAGCAGTCGTCCGCCTGCTTTGGATGCCTTCTGCAATAATATAATGGAGAAGTGTTTCGATGCCGTTGGGAGAAAGATGTTGACGGGGTGAAGTCAGAGAGATTTCTTGGCAGCACATACATAGCGTCGGCGCAACTTCGCTCTGCGTCCGTAGCACAGATGATCGGCAGCTTCCGTTGCTTTTCCGACGTCGACACGGGGTCCCTCTATTCAGTGCGGGGAGTCGCTCTCACGTGACCAAGCCGAATGTCTCAGCACGTGTCAGGCCATGTCTCTGCCAAGATCTCTGCTGGCGACGTCACTCCTGGAGCACCGACATCAGGCCACACTTGGCCGCAGTGCAACCGAAGGCGCTTTCTCTTGCTGCACCCCTGACACAGGAAACCCCTCACAATGAGCGAAAGATCGACCTCTGACGCCAGCGGCGAGCCTGTCCCAGAATTACTTGGCCAAGCACAGCCCAAGAATGCAGCCTTCCACAGCTTCCAAGTTTCGAATCGGCTACAACTACATGGACACAGTGGAGGTGACGAATGGTTCTCGTGGGATGACGAGTCCGAACCTCTTCGATCCTCCACATGGCTGTCTTTGCGACATGCTGGTTGCGTGGTGAAAGCACAAAAGAGCTCAGTGACGACATCTTGGAGCCCATCAGGCGGTGCTAAAAGCAGGTAAGAGGCATTCGGTTAGACAAGGGTCGTGATACTGTAAGAACGTAAGGTATTAATAGTAGAGGCTCCCGGCACTCCATGGTTGGCAGTCCCGCAATCTTCATTACTTTCTACCCGACACAAAAGACTTTCCATTGAACCAAATCAACATGTCTTACGAGCGAGACAACGACAACGCCTACGGCAGCAGCGGTATGCTAAGAGATCATCGCCTGCAGTGTGGGATGTGTTATCTGACCCATTGAACAGGCCGCCAAGGAGGGTTTGGAGATGACACCATGGGCTCTGGAGGATATGGAGTACGTACCAGGCACCATCATTCTTGAAGAGAACTCTGTCTAATCAGTGACAAGTCTTCCGACCGCTCGAATCTAGGCGGAGGTCAGGACGACTTTTCCAGCGGTGGTCGCACTGGTGGGGGCTTTGGAGGCTCTTCTGATGACTTTTCTTCTTCTGGCCGAACTGGAGGCATCGGAGGTCGCCCCGACGATTTTGGCTCCAGCAACCGCATGGGCGGTGGAAATGACAGCTACGGATCCTCTGGTGGCATCGGAGGTTCCGATCAGTTCTCCAGCGGCGGTCGATCCGGTCCAGGTGGCCTTGGTGGTAGCGACAGCTACGGCGACTCGACCACTGGCGGTCCGGGAGGTCTTGGCGGAGACAGTTTTGGCTCCAGCGGACGTGATGCGATGACATCGGGGGGAAGGTCATATGTACGTGTGCAAAGATCGCTTCTGCGTGGTGGCATTGTCAAAACCCAGCTACGAGAAGTTTCTTATCCTTGCGATTCTTTGACTAACTCTTCTGTGTATCTAGGGAGACGACAGTACGTCACATCCTCTCCGCCAGCGGACCTGATCCTGGGAGCCCAAATTGCATATCATCCTCGATGTACGGGACTGACATTTTGTAGGCTATGGCAATACGACCTCCAACCTTGGCGGTAGCGATAGCTCCACGGGTTATGGTGGTGGAATGAACAACACGAACAGCTATGGCGGCGACTCAAGCCTAGGCTCGGGTACCGTTGGTGGATCTGGTAAGAGATGCAACCCAAACGCAAGAAGGCTGCGTGTTGACAGATGATTCCAGGCCACGGTAACGACTCGTCCGACTATGGATCCGGAAACAAGAAGAATGACTCCACGATGGGCAAGCTCATGGAGAAGGCGGGAGGCTTGATGAAGAGCGACAACATGGCCGAGAAGGGCCGTGAGAAGCGTGAAGAAGCTGCATATGGAGGTGATAACTACGGCTCCTCTGATCGTCGCGACAACTACTAGACGCCTACGATGAGAAGTAAGTTGTAGTTGGAGGCTTGTAATGATCAACGATATTCTTCTACTTAGTGGCAACGATCTGTGTTCGTATCGATTTGTCCACTCAGCAGCGCTCTTTCTCGTAATGTCCTTGACCAGCTGACGATCACATACACCTCCCCTCCAACGGTCGAGTGAGCGCCTACCGCACATATTTGTCCATGAACCGTCGGTGGAAGTCACTTCTCAGCAAATCATTGACAAACCGCTTCTCTTTTCCTCTCGCCTCCGTTCCTCTCGCCTGATTCTTGAATACCACATCGTCATCCCATCGCCTTTTCACGCCATACTCCTCCTTGTGCGGGTTCAGTAGCGGATTCCCCAGCGCTATGTCCTTCTCTCGTTGTTCCTCGTCTTTCTTCGCTTGCTCCGCTGCAGCCTTTGCGGCTGCCTCAGCGCGCTCTGCCTTAATCTTTGCCAGCTCGCGCATCAACTCTGCTGATTCGTCTTCCTCATCGTCTTCGTCCTCTGATTCTGACTCTTCTGAAGATTCTGAATCTGCATCGATGTCGCGGGTCTCCTCCAAAACTCGCCGCTTCTTCGACTCGTAGTCTTCGTCCGGGTCACCGTCTGCTCCTGGCTCATGGTCTAGTCTTCGCTTGGCGCCTCCACTTGAGCTTTCGCGTGCTTCAAGTTGTAGGGGTTCTTTTTGCGGTACATCATCCTCATCGTCTTCGGTAATGTCGCGCCCTTCCTTCTTTGCAAAATGCTTCGCTTCGTTTTTGAAGAGCTCCGCTCTTAGGTCGCGCCTTGCCTGCTCGTCTGGCGCTCCTTGGGTCGCTTGTCGGAACTTGAGGGTCTTGTGTGCTGGTAGTAATCGCTGATGATATGCCTCTCCGCGCGCGGCTTCTTTGCCTCGTGCTGGGTCGAACGTGGGTCTGTGTGCCGTTGTCATTTCGAGTGTCGAGAAGATTGGCTGAGTTTTGAAGGCTGAAGGTGTCGTGTAGGGAGCAGAATAGTGAACTGCAGGAGGATCCGCACGTCCAGACCTTTAATGACTCGTGTAAAGCTTTGGCCCGCCGTACTTTCAACTTCACATGCAACTCGAAAAGTTCCTGCTGATCGCAAACCATGCAACCAATGCAGTGAAGACCAAAATGCCACGCGAAGCCGAACCCTCCAACAATGAGCGGGAGTTCCTACTCTCTGCCCTACGCGAGAACATCCGCCTCGATGGTCGTGCAGTTGATCAGTTCCGCCCCATCGACCTCGCGTTTGGAGAAGAATATGGAGTCGCGGACGTGCGGATGGGCAAGACGCGTGTTATGGTCAAGATCTCCGCGGAAGTAGTCACACCAGGCTCGGACAGGAAGTTCGACGGTATCTTCACAATATCTACGGAGCTAAGCCCAATGGCGAGCCCGGCATTTGAAGTTGGACGGTAGGACAAGACACAGGACAAGCAAGAGGTGTGGATGGACTGATTGATGGGGTAGACAAGACCAGACTGAGATCTTGATGTCACGACTACTCGAGAAGACCATTCGGCGCTCAGGTGCGCTGGATACCGAGAGCTTGTGCATCATTGCTGGCCAGAAGTGCTTTCATGTTCGCGCGGATATTCATGTGCTCGATCACGATGGTAATCTGGTGGACGCGAGCTGCATTGCATTGGTAGCGGCGCTCATGCACTTCCGTCGTCCGGACGTGGAGGTCCACGGCGAAGAAGTCACCGTCTACGGACTGCGAGAGCGGGAGCCGGTGAAGTTGCAGATGCAGCATCAACCATTCTGCGTTACTACATCATACTACGACAATGGAGAGATCATGCTGCACGACTCTTCATTACTGGAAGAACAGTGTCGCGATGGCGAAATCGTGGTATCAATCAACCGCTTTGGTGAGGTTTGCCAAATTGCCAAGTATGGTGGCGCTCCCGTCGATGGCCTGAGCATTCTCACTTGCACAAACATGGCACTGGAGAAGGCCAAGATGCTTGAAATGCTCGTCAAGTCCAAGTTGGAGGAAGACGAGAAGAGAAGGGATGCTGGTGGTCTAATGGCTGAGTTGAGGGCTGAAAACGAGCGGCCTGGCTGAAGGGTTGGACGTGCACCTTGGGATGAGAAGAGGTAGCTTGGAGTTCGGTCATCAGGTCTCTGCCTCCTACGCATGCACGTCACACCATCAGAGACGCTGGAGACGGCAAAGGACAGACCGGGAGATCAGCTCGAAGGCACAAGCAGGTCCAGATAGGAGGCCTCACGCCATCATGATGAGGTTGGTTACGAAGCCCAGAGCGACAGGACGGCAATGGCGACCAGTGTGAATATAACTCACGCAAAAGCGCATGCCACGAGCAAAGCAAGGGCAATCCTCTTCTATTGCCGATAGTCACATGCAAGACTGGATCAGGTGGTCCTTATTTGGCCACTTCTTGCAGCATCGTCTTTATTACTTGAACATCTTCCAACTCACCTGCCAAACGTTGACATCCACACCAACAGGCATGCGCAAGAATGGTCTTTTCACCCCACTGATGCCCTGCACGCGTTGCGGTCCAAGCCCGTCACGCACCTGAGGACGAGACAAGCGATCTTGTTCTCTCCAGACCCCAACATCGCTGGCCTGATAAGCTTCTGCGCCACGGCGCACTTGGTTCCGCTGCTATCTGGAGTCACATCACATGCCGATGGCCCGTAGCCGGCTCTCACTCCACCTTTAAAGGGCAGACAGAACGCGTCCATCCCACGAGTATGTCTCCGTCTCCTGCAACATCTACGCCACAACCGGTTGTCGTTGCCGACACGGGCTTCCGGCTTTAGGCCTCACCACAGGGTCCGCCGGCATATCACTGACAATTTCCGTAATAGTTACAGGTGGACACGATCATCATCATCGTGAGTCGCGTCAGAGGCACGGTTGCTTGAAGTTCTTCCAAGCATACACAAGACCAACGCCTGTCACGACCAAGTTCAGATTCAAGTTGCCTCGCAAGTCATCCGAGGATGTGTAAATCCAGCAACACGACCCTTTCCTACCAGCATACCAATGGCTTGAATGCTTGGAGCTTTGGTGCATTGGATCAAGATAGCGCATCACAAGAGCTTCAGTCTCCGAGAACTGATTCAAGCCAAGTCGACACCCACGTTATGAGCCAGAAAAGACGCATGAATGGTTCACCTGATGTTGATCGTGGTGGAACTACAAAGAAATTAAGGATGGACAGCAACTTGGGGAAGGGGTGCACCGAACCATACTCTTACTCTTTCGAAGGCGACCACGATCATGATGCAAACCCCGTCGTATCGAGGCCAGCGACTGCTGCAGCTTCTGCTCCGAAGATCCGAAAGGGCCCTTTCATAATCGACGATAGCTCTGACGACGAAGCCGAACCTAACGTTCTTCCGACAGAAGATGAAGTCCAGAAAACGCCAGGGTGGTCGTATGGGAGAGAAACGAGTGCTTCGTCAGCTCTGATCAAACAAGAGGCCAAAAGTGAGAGCGAGAGAATGAGAGTACGGGCTCTCGCCAAGAGAAATCCTGCCCTGACGCACGGAAGACCGAGTGAGACCAACAAACGCGATATGAGCGCAAGGCCGCAAGCTCCTCTTACTGATTCTACGATCGCTCTTACAGGTGACAAAGACAGATCGAAAACCACCCAAACGAGACCTTCTGATCGAAGACCCTTCAGACCGTTGCAGACTGTGTCACAATCTGCCGGTTCCGCGTCTGCCGATAGCACTGTCCAGAAGACTGCATCTCCTGCGCAGGCCAATCCTGGAAATTGGTTTCTCAACCAGCTGAAGGGCTTGACGGAGGCTGCGGAGCAAGATGCCCGGAATGAGAGCAAGCGCGATGAAGCCTCTCGCACAAAGGAATATAATCGGAAGCGTTGTCTCGAGCATGAAGAAAAGGCCGCGAAAGAACGACAAACTCAAGCGCTACAACAGCGCCTTCTCGAGCAAGATCAACAGCGCGAGATACAGGCTCAGCGGGGACAGTACCTTCAAAAGCAAGTGCTTAAACAGCAGGAAGAGACGAACCGTCGTGAAGCCGAACAGGCCCAAAAGCGTGCGACCGCAAAGCGAGAGGAAGAACGCGAACTAATGAAGCAGCGCGCAGCCTTGGATGAGAAGCAAGAAAAGGCTGCACAAGAGCGTATACGAAGACAACGAGAACGCAATGCTAGTATGGCAGAGGACGACAACAACGAGATTATAGTCGAAGATCCGGGCCAGGCTCCGGTTCAAGTCTCTCTGGCTTCAATTGCTCGAGGGTTGCACTCGCCCAGGCCTCCGCCTACAGCGGCTCAGAATGGATCTCTTCGGCCTGATGCTGCTGCTTTGAAACAAGCGAGACTTAATACAGAGCCCAAGGCACTCAGTAGTCCGGCCGGTGCTCTGGTAGTGTCAGATCAGGACGCCGAGCAAGCGCTGGCGCTCACGATCGACCAGGCAGTTGGCGAGATTCTCCCGCAAGACGCCAAACTTCTGCAATGGAAAGATGAAGGCTTCGACTTTTCGAGCATCATTCCGAAATTCGCTGAAGTGAGCGGAGCGAGAAGGACACGCGAATGGCTCCGGGTGCGTCACTTTCAACTACAAAACGCCATCAAGAATACAGCTGTCGACGAAAAGCTTCTCAGAAAACTTGCTAATAATGAGGCGGAAGCTGTCAAGCAAGCGAACATCCTAGTCCATGGAGCATACCCTATCTCATTTGGAGACCGAGACCGAGATTGCAGCAGGAAGGAGCACTTTCTGGTCAAGACTCCCGGTCAGAGTCCTAACAATCGAGTGCCGCTCCTCCCTAAGCCTACGCCTGGCCAGCGTGAAGTTGCCGAGATTCGGCTTCGAGATGTTGAGCTAGTGCAGTGGCGAGACACTGGTGTTCAATGGCCGGAGATCAGGAAACGATACTTCGACAAGTATGAAGACGAGTGGTCGGAGAACAGGTTTCGGGCGCGGTACAAGCAGTTGAAGGAAGCTCTTCAGACCGCTAATGTCGGGGTTGTTTTGCTAAGTCGTGCTGCCAACAAGGACGAATACGCGCGCATTGAGATCAATCGAATGATCCATGGCGAAGCATTCGACAAAGGTAAAACAATACCCACAGTACGACTCTCGACGAAGGCTTCGATCCCGCCTGAAACCGAGGAGAAGAAAGACTCGGCGAGATCGGCGACTAGCATACCTGCACCACCTACTCCAGCGCAAGCTACGAGGCCAACCACGGGAGGCAAGATGCTAGATGAAAATTTCTATATGGCGCTCATAAATCAACGGCACGAGGCAGAAGAAAGTGAGGAGCCGGAAGAGAACGAGGTCGGAGAGACCAACGACTGCTATTGGATCTACCGCGTGTTTCGCCGTGAGCTGGACCCCGAACAACTCGAGAACCTCGAAGAGCTCGATCAAGATGATGAGTGGATTGAATGCGCTGGAGAAGAGCTCTATACTCATGAAGAGGCTTACTCAAGAGCAAATCGGGAAGTATTCGCGAAGAGGCCTGGGAGCAATGTCTACGCTTCAGATACGAGGGAGCTCGCCTTCAGGCAGTATATCGATGACGATGGCCGTGGGCACCTGCACCTTGAAATTTCTGGCTACGGGCGCGTGGAAACCCTCATCGCCCGAGAGGCAAAATATTTGGAGCCAAGCAGACCCGCGCCGGCGGAAGCGGGCATGAGATCTGTCCACTGGCAAGTAAGACAACTAGTCACGACCATCCACGAGCCAGCAGACGAGATGTTCGACGAGCGAGAGAAGATTACTGAGCTGACTCTGGTGGAGGGAGGCGCGAATTCCGACTTGACTGAGGCCAATAAAGTAGCTGCGCGACAGTGGGTGGAGCTGACTTTCAGATCTCAATCTCGCAACTTGAATGAGCGAGAGGCTGAGAAGAAGGAGACGTTTGTCGGTTTATTGGATGAACTGGAAGACAACGAGGACGAGCCTTTCAATCGTACGTCAGAGGATGGAAAGCTGAAGGTGTGGGTGGAGAGGGTTGTGGTGAATGGGCCGTCGAATTGAGAGAAGCGTGACGGCGGGAGAAGAGGTCTGCGTTCTGAGGTATTGTAAAGACATCTCGTTAGCGTAGCTGGCCTCTGCCTTTCTGGAATCAGAGTCGATGTGCGATGGCATTCATTCCTATCTTCTTGTACGTTCAAATCTCTAGTCACCTCAAAGACAGTGACTAAGTTGCCATCGCTTATATAATACCGGTCATGTCTTCGCTCCTGGAAACTTGTTCAAGCAAGGAATGCAGGCCCACCTCAGTCTGCTGCGAACTGGTCTCTATCCAACGGTCCGGAAACTGTGTGCACGAGGCAGACCCCTTTGGCACGGGTGGACACGTTCTCCTGGAGATAGGCTGATACCGCGTCAAGGGCCACTTCCTCAGAGTGGTGGCTTTGAAGGAGAGAGCGGGCTGCTCGCGAATGCTGAGAAACCTCCGTTGTGATGAATTTGTACCCGTAGTCGCGAGAACGCAGCAGCAACGTAGAGGTCCTGCTTCCAACGCTCACCCCATTTTCCCAAGGCGAATTCGCAGGATCCTTGCTCATAGGATCCTACGTTCAGCTAAGTGTCCCTTATCGCCCATCACAGTCTTGATCGGTGACGCCTGCATTGTCTTCCGCCAAGTCTCAGCCGTGCACATCTCCAATGCTGGCTTGGTTTGATAGCAACGAAAGTAGGTTGTGAAGCGGGCTTGCATCGGAAGCGCCATGCAGCCCAGCAGTTCGAATTCCTCGCGTCCAGACCAAGCCTACAAGCAACCATTGACTTCAAAGCCCAAGTGCTTCAGGTCAACAATGCGTCTTGCAGGCCTTTCGCCAATCTGAGCTTCCAATCTTGAAGGCTGATACTTGGGATCGAGTCTCATGCGATACCCATCTGAAATCGCTGTCCTGAGAAATTGACAGCAATCAATCCAGATCATCAAACTCCTCGCTTGGTCGCAAACCGTGTTCAACCATCGCAAAGTCCCAATGGGAGAAGTTGATCTTCCAGATCACTTTGCCAGAGATCAGTGCCAGTGGTAATGGCCCGAACATCCTCGAGTCACGCGACCACTTGAGATTGTCTCCAACTACCCAACAGTGACCTTGAGGAACCTAGCATCTCCTATCAGAATACCGGACTAGCTGCATTTGATCGATATCGAACAATACCTGTATCATAACTTCACTTCTCCCGGGAGTATTCATGAGGACCAAGTCTCCCTCCATCCCAATGATCCTCTTGATTGCATGTTCGCCCTCTTGGACCGGATGTTTAAAGCTGATGACATCGCCAACGCCCACGTCTCTTCCATGTCTAGACCACTTGCTGATCCACACCCAATCTCCGTCTGATGCGAATGTGGGAAGCATGGAGATACCCCAAGCATCGACGAAGCTAGCAAAGTAGCCTGTGAAGATATGTGACGCGAGGAGAAGTCCACAGCCCATCCAGACATAGCGTACGTAGCGTGAATGGGACGGATACGGTGTATTCAATACTTGGAGGACTCGGCGCAATCGATTAGGACGGTCAGGCGGTTGGCTTGGCTTGGGTTCATGGGATAGATGGCGGATCTGAACTGAACGAGGGATGCTGAAGCGACTTGCGGCGATCCTTCGGGCGCCCCATCGCAACATTGGGTATCCAGTCCCGAAAGTGAAGGTGAACGAAGCAGTCCGGACGTTGGAAGAAGTTTGGCGCGATTCAAAGCGGAACTGGCTCCGCGATCTGGAGGATCCACCCCAAATTTTCAACTTTCGATCTTGACTTCTGCATTTCGACCACATCCGAACATTTTCTGCCAACGAGAATCGCAACATGGCACGAGGCACGAAACTCAAAGCAGCGCTTGGCCGTTTCAAGGGCGTTGACCACCAGCAGGAACATCAGAAGAAGCTGCAAAAGGAAGCAGAGAAGAGAAAGCTCAAGAAGAAGAGATCGGAGCTCGATATTGGAGCACTTGAGGATGCGGTAGCCGGAGAAGAAGCGATTGAAGAGGCGCATGATCTTGCAAACACCGTGAACGAGAGCCGACGAGAAAAGAGGGCGGCGAAGAAAGCAAAAGCAGGGGAGAGAGCAAAAGGAGAAGCGGATGGGTGGGAAACAGAGGAAAGCGAGGATGCGGAAGACGACGAAGACGAAGGTGGCGTAGAGATCGGCGCGATGGAGGATGAGTCCGACTCAGATTCAGAATACGAGGAGATCATATCGAAGGAAGACAAGGCCCAAACTAACGGAGACGCTGACGAGGGCGATGAGGATGAGGAGGACGACGACATTCCACTTTCGGACATCGATTCTCTCGCATCGGAAGACAAGGAAGACGTCGTACCGCACCAGAGGTTGACAATCAACAACACCGCCGCTCTCCAACGCTCGCTGAAATCTTTCCAACTACCACTTCACCTACCATTCTCCGCCGTACAGTCAGTCACCTCAACGGAGCCTGTACAAATAGCCGATGTTGAGGACGATCTCAACAGGGAATTGGCCTTCTATAGACAATCATTGGAAGCAGTCACAGAAGCCCGGGATCGGCTCAAGAAGGAAGGAGTACCCTTCAGCAGACCTACCGATTTTTTCGCGGAGATGGTTAAGTCAGAAGAACAGATGGGCAAGGTACGGGAGAAGCTGCTAGATGAAGCGGCGCGAAAGAAGGCGAGTGCCGATGCCAGGAGACAGCGAGACCTCAAGAAGTTTGGCAAGGCGGTGCAGGTAGCGAAGCTACAGGAGCGACAGAAGGAGAAGAGGGAAACTCTGGATCGTATTAACACACTCAAGCGAAGTAATTAACTCTCATACCGTGCACTTCAGGGATACTTTGTACTGACTTCTTGCAGAACGCCAAGGCGCAGATCTCACCGCAAACGAGGACGACATGTTCGACGTGGCACTGGAGGACGCAGCCGTCACTGCCAAGTCAGACAGAGCAGCAAGAAAGGCTGGAGGAGCCGAAGGGCCCAACAGGAAACGCCAGAAGAAAGACGAGAAGTTTGGCTTCGGTGGCAAGAAGAGATTTGCAAAGTCGAATGACGCGAAGTCGACTGGCGATATGAGAGGATTCTCAACTAAGAGGATGAAGGCTGGAAGTAAGCCTGGGAAGCAGAGACCAGGAAAGAGCAAGCGTGCGCGCGTGTAAATTGTAAGATGAATGGAGTGAGGGTTGCGGGCGGGAGAGACCGTGTACTGTTACTAGCTGTCGATTACAGATACCCGGCGCAAACTTGGAATGGCACGTGAAAGCGCGTCGGTGGGAGGACCGCGCTAGCTGCCTAGCCGCGCCTGCCTCTTCCCACGCGATGAGGTTTGCTTCCACGTTTGACGCAATCTCCATCTCAACTTCAACATTTCAACACTCACGACTGTTCTCACGGATAGGCTGGCAACCAAATACCACTCCCTGCGTCTGCTGAAAAACTCCACCAACTCTCTTCACTGTGAGTAATGTTGACAGGCAGTCGTATTACCAGAGCACTGATGGACTGCAGCAAACGCAGCACCTGAAATCACCAACCATGGGCGCTTGGGGCTACGGACTCTTCCAAGGCGATCATGACCTGGATGTCATCGCGGATCTCAACTACGAGATCGGCTTGTCTGAACTGGAAGCGCAGGCCAAAGCCAAAGCCAGAGCTGCGCCAGGAACAGAGCCGTCAAAGACCAACGATACCAAGCAGACCTCTGAAGACAAGGAAGAGGAGGATGAGGACGAATTCGACCGTATGATTCGCTACGACTTGTACGGCAACGCGTGCTCCGACCCCGACGCCGTCCGCGAGTATCTCCACAACACCGACGCTCTGCCCAAGCTCATCGCCGAGTACACCACCGCTTTCCGCAATGCGAAGTCCGTGCAACACTGGTATGGTCCGGAGTACAAACTCGTCATCCTGGCAGCCTGCCTCATGACCCTAGGCTGCAAGCTTCCAGCAGACCTCAAGAAGCTCGTCGGAAAGCTGTATCCACACGTCGGTCTCATGGCCGAGGGACAACAGCAGATGGCCAAGGCTCTGACGCAATACAAGGAAGGCGATCTCTGGGACTTCGAGTCACTTGGATTGATTGACACTGCGAACGCTAGAGACTCTAGCATGGGCGGAGGGATGAACGTGATGGGTGTTGGTACGCTCTTCGGTGCTCCGCCAAAGGCGAAGTCGTATCCTGACGAGCTGTGCGGCACCTGTGGCTCTGGCGCTGATGAGGGCCACGGCTTGCCCGTCTGTGCGAAGTGCAAGAAGCGCAAGTACTGTGACAAGGATTGCCAGAGGATTCACTGGGGTACTCACAGGAAGGAATGCAAGAAGGCCGAGGCCTAAACCTCTAACATTCGGGGGTTCGGAAGAGCGTGGCAGAGCTCACGCAATAGAAAGGCTGATCTTGGGACGATTGCCACGCCGCAGAGCTGTATTGCTCTCATGCTCGGAGGCGGCGAATACTCGTGTCTAGATCGCGCACAGCTCAAGTTGAAAGAGGCAAAGCTTCATGTCAACTAGGTGTTTCGCTACGAAACTTAGTATACTGTCGATACTATCAGACAATGACCTCTCTCAGTCCCCTTTCCGCCTCCCCTCACTCCTGCTCCTGCCTGCAGATCCACTCCTGGTGTCCAGAAAGTCATCAGGAATATCGTTCCAGTTCGTCGTTCTGCTTTCTTCACGACGCTGCGATCCGGGGCGGCCTTCTTCATCACTCGAAGTATCACACCCCTCGGCTGCAGGAGAAGGCGGGCCTTTCCTCCTATCAAGAGGCTGCATTTGCATAGTCGCGCTCCCATTCACCGGCTTAGCAGGGCTTTGCCTGCCATTTATATATGCGCTCGGGGCATTCCATGCTTGGTCAACGAAGCCTTGACCGGGCGTCCACTTCAAATTTCTAGGCGGAGGCTGGGAAGTTGGTTGATCCCACATTGCTTCTTCTCTTTCACGCTGTTCTCTTTCCTTTCCAATGCGCTCGCGTGCTTCGGTCCATTTGGGGCTGACTTCCCATTGCCAGCCGTCACCGTTTGTGTTGCAAATGGGCAGGAACCAGAATAGCATGTTCTCTCCGAACACGTGCTGAAGATTGCGTTTCCAGCCCATGTCGAATGCATTCGGCAGTTTCTCGGAGTCCTGTTCGTCTAGGTACTCATTGTAGCGATTGCGTTCTCGTTGTGCTTCGATGGATGCGAACGAGCGCTGCAGACTCTCACGAGCGGGCGAACTGTTAGCTGCGCCGGGTGGTGCAACTGGAGTGTGAGCGCGGGATGGATGAAGTGATGTTTCGCCTTCTTCAGGTCGTAGGACACCGGGAAGAGCATTCGCGTGGATCTCCTTTAATCGTTCGCCCAGAGGCTGATCCTCATTTGATTCATTCTGCTGGCCGAGATAATTCCTTCCTTCTTGGAATTGGTGCTCAAAAGTCTTCCGCAACGGACTCAAGTATCTCGTCTTCTCCAAGCTCTCGATCGTTGTCTGCCCAGTGACCGCAAGATAGATATGCCAGCCCGTGAAACCAGTCAACACCAGCCCAATGATACCACTCAGCACACTAAGCAGGATCGTGTTCACGACCCTCATCCCCTGGGAGATCTGTGTCCCGTCCAGAATCTCGACCCAAACCCACCACGCCGTCACGGCAAAGCACAGCCAGCAGAACAAGCTGGTGTATGTCAAGAACAACAAGAATGCCTTGTAGTTCCGAAGCCCAACGCAGGTCGCAAGCCATGGACAATGGTGATCCATCTTCAACACACATTTCTGGCAGGTAGAACAGTGATGTGTCCGATCCGGCTTGACAGTCTTACACTTCTTGCAGTATCGCGGCCTACCCGTACTCTTCGCTGTGACACTCGTCATATTACATTCAGAAGGCACTGACGTCTCATCCACATCAGCCTCAAAGGTAGGCAGACCCTCATAACCCCCACCTTTCCTTCTTCCACTCGTGCCATCCTGTCGGGGATCCAGAGGTGAGCCGGGATTTGTGAAGACGGCTACTGTGTACGAGATGTTTGCGAGGGTGTATAGGACTATGCCGAAGCCTGCTCGCAGCCAAGCATGTCCTGCTGTAATTCCCATGAACGAGACGTCGACCTCGACATAGACGGCCCATGTTGTAAGGCCGTAAACGAAGACGAGAGGAAAGTGGGCGAATGTTGTACAGCAGCAACGTTCGATCTTGCGAGCCCAGCCTTTTCGTCTGCGGTGAAAGGGAGGTGATGGTGTCGTTCGAGGGGATGCCAGCGTTGGCATGTCGGAGAAGGAAGTTGATGGCATCTTGACCGTGGGCTATCGTATGGACGGCATTTCGTTTGATGTTGGAGTGACGACGCGGCGATTCAGTCCCTCGCCTGTTGAAGAAATTCGCTATGAATAGAATGGAAGAAGAAGTCGTGCGGTATACTACAACATCGTCATGACCGCGCACGCGCAACTGGTGGCTCAGTTAGATCTCGGCAGGTTCGGCCCGATCAACCGCCATTCGCCGAGTCCGGTCGAACGAATGAACCTCGCCTCAATATTGCCTATAGCACCAAGCCTTCGGAAACCCAACATCCGCCAGCAACATGTCAGACACAACCTCTCTCACTGGTCAAGTCAACAGACTCACAATCGCCGGAGACAATGCTTCCATCGTGCGTCGTTTCCCCCCCCTATTCTCAACCAACCCCCCTACTAAAGCGTACTGCAGAACTCCTCCCAGACCGAATCGTCAGAGTTGGTAGCAGTCGTAGACGATCTCCTGAATCAGCTCACCACCAAGTTCAATTCCATCAGTGGTGAGATCTTGACCAAAAGTATGTGGACATCGGGATGTTGAAGCTTTCCACCCGTACTAACTCCAATCGCTAGTGGACGACATGGCCAAAAGACTAGATACCTTGGAAGGCAACATCCAAGCTGGAAATGCTGCGGCTGCAGCTCAAAACGAGAGCGAGGAGAGCAAGTAGACTGCAACTCTTCTTCGAGAGGCACTGCAGGCCTGTTCGATAAAAGTCATTATGTCGATTTTAGCGAGGCGTTGAAGGGAATTCACTTTTGCACAATTATAGCTGCGCACTGGAGAAATCTTGGAAGAAAGCAATGTATCCATCAACAGTGCATTGTATTGGATGTACAAGAGCTGAACTGTGCTTTCCGAAGCTGCTTTTCAATCGACTCGCGCCTTTCTGTGTGCCTGCCATTGATCGTATCATGCAAAACGTGGTATCATCCCAAAACAAATATCCTTATGCCCTCCCCACATTCCATACAGCGCCGGCGCCTCCAAACCATGACTTTCCCAAACAAGCTCCCGTCAGTATCTCTGTGCAACAGGTAAAGTCGGCAGATACCGCGAGGACATCTGTCTGCTTCCCGGAAAGGCCTCCATCTTAGCCTGCATCTTCACCTTCTCCAAAAGATGGCTCGTCGGCAAACTGGGCGCAGCAAGCCTTTTAACCATCTGGACTCGCTCATCTTCGTCAAAGGCATGTAGGTTATAGTGCTCCCGAATCAGCTTTTGTGAGTCTGGATGTGAAGCAGCGTAGACTTTGTGAGAGCAGCCGTCTAGTGCGCAAAGCCACGTGTCTTCTTGCACAGGGTCTGGTGCATGTCCTTCAACGCCACGTATAGCTAGCTCTGATGTTCCGCCAGGTGGTAACTCCGCATTTTCTCCATCGCCAGATACAGAAGGTGAAGTGGGAATGTCGATGCCCTCATCGTCGTGTGGTCGACTATGCCTGCGTTTCAGTGGTCTTACAGGCGTATCTCTATCTGCCATCTTCCGTTTTCCAGCCATTGGAGACGATGGCGGGTCCGGCTGGTCGTCTTCGTCGTCTTCATCCATTGCCGGTCCCTTCCCACCTTTTCGACCTGCGCTTTTGCTGGCTTTGCTCGCTCTCGGCCTAAGCGATGACTTGTTCTTGCGAGATCGCAATCTGATTTCCTCATCGGTGTCATCATCCTTTGTGGGCGTGGTAACAGCACCCTCAACTGAGTCGACCTCGGTCTGCCCTGCGACTGAATTCTGCCGTGTTTTCCTGGACGTCCTGGTACTCGAAGCCGTTGTTGCTAGAAGCTCAGTGAGTTCATCCACTGGTTGCTTCGATCCTCTTCTAGTAGAGTCTGCTTCCGAGGTTCCGTCCAGAGATATCACTTCTACCGCACTACCCTTCACATTGGCTTTGCGTCCCCGTTTTCTGGTCAGCGCGCTTACTGATGAAGTAGTGCCTTCTGATGCCTGGCGCTTGTGGTTAGATTGACCGACCTCTCTCCCCGCAGGTGCTGGCGCAGAAAGTCTCTGTCGCAATTTGTCGAAAAGTTCCGGAAATTTCCTGTGCATGTGGCCATAAAGTGGATATTTGCTCCAGGCCAAGCCTTCTTTCCCAGAAATCATACATGAGATCAAGAAGCCTTTATGCTCGTAAAACTTCTCCATGCCATCTGACGGATCCGAGGAGTCCATCTCTTCTGCCGCGTACTTCTCGAAAAGCTCGGCCGCAGAGTAGTCGGGCAGAACTTGCGCACTTTTCCCTCTGCCCTTCTTTCGAGCAGGTTGTCCATATGTGTCCGAACAGAAGTATAGCAACTTCACAGCTTCGGCCATCCCGTCGAACGTTGCCTTGTATTTCTTGGCTGGCTTCAGTTTGAACCAGCCCGCCTTCCCAGCAGCCCAAAAGCCGTAGCTACCATCTCCGTACAGACCATATGAGAACGTTACTACTCTTTCTAGAATGATGTCGATGCGCTTCTTCCCTGGCCGCTGTTTGTTGTAGAGGTGGGAGTTGTCTGGGTCCGGTGGCTCTAATTGACCCACCACGACTAAAGGGTATCCAGCGCTCGCTTCCAACAGGCTCTCAGTGAAATCCGGCTGTCCAGGTAAATGCACATGAGCGTGACTCAGTGTGAACTCAGGCCATTCGTCGCTGTTCTCGCCCTCTCGAGAGGGGTCGCGGGGCGTGAGGATATCGCTCTCGCTTGCCATTATCGCGGTCGTACAGTCGTGAGAATATATAGATGGATCTGGAGAGTTGATGCGACCATCGCAAGCGGGTTTGTGACGCGTGACAAGAGCTGCTGATGGGTTGGAGATTGTAGTAGTCGGGAGAGGCGCGCTGCGCGCTTGTGAAAGCCGCGAGCTGTGCCTGGCCGGCTGACAAGACTATTTACAGGGATCTGCGCCAAAGCAACAGCCGATCCGAGACCGACGGAAGGCCGTAAGGCTGGAGATTTCCAGAGCTCCAGCTTTGAAACGATTCACTCACCTCCGCGTAGACAATCATATGCTACCCCTCGAAACACTTGTGAACTGAGTCAATGCGCGGCCGCCAGATAGCTTGGCGATCGCAGAACTTGCTCTCATCTGCAATCTCTCAGACGAGGACAGCAGCACATATCGGGACAACTTCGAAAATGTCATCATCCGATCGCATTTTCGAAGGCGTGATGGGTACGGTATGGTTCTATTCCATGCCTAGCTGAACTCCGCTCTACTAACGCTTGCACCATACAGCCATCAACAAGCCATCCGGCATAACCTCAGCGCAAGTCATCCGCGATGCACAGAAACATTTCAATCCCTCCAAGCTCTTCCAACCTTGGCTCGCCCGCGAACAGGCAAAACGAGATGCCGAATCGGGAAATCAAAAGCAGAAGCGAAGATGGCGTGGCAGACGCGAGACGAGCGTCAAGATGGGTCACGGCGGTACCCTGGACCCAATGGCTACTGGAGTCCTGATCCTCGGCATAGGAAGCGGAACCAAGCAATTGAACCACTTCACCACCGAGTGCACGAAATCTTATGAGACCACCGTGCTTTTTGGCGCCGCAACAGATTCATACGACACAGAGGGCAAGATTGTGGGGCGAAAGCCGTATGAGCACATTACCAAAGAGATGGTCGAGGAGGCACTTCAAAGGTTTAAAGGGAAAGGCATGCAGAAGCCGCCCATCTTCTCGGCGATCAGGGTGCAGGGCAAGAGGCTGTACGAATACGCCAGGGAGGGAAAAGAAGTACCTGTCGAGATTGAGCAGCGACCTGTGGAAGTTTCGGAGCTGGAGATGACTGAATGGTATGAAGGCGGGACTCACAAATGGCACTGGCCGAAGGAGGAGGCCGATACAGCCCAAAAGACTGTTGCTCAAAAGGTGCTTCACATCGGTGGAGATGACGAAGACCCGATCGAAGCAGGGGACGCAGAAGCTCCTGCGGCCGCCAAGAGAAAGCGGGTTGACCAGGATGAAAATGGACCAGCGCCAAAGAAGCCGAAAGAAGAGTCGAGCGCACATCAGACTACACCTGACAACGCGCCAGAACCAGCTCCTTCAGACGTAGCCAAAGATGGAGAAGCTAGTCCGGAGCCTATTGCCAAGCCGATTGCTGAGCAGTCCGCTGACGCTCCAGTGAAGCCGGATAACGAGGGCCATTTAGAGAAAGCCTCTGAGCAGCAAGACCCGAAGCAAGACCAGACAGCACCCGATCGATCACCCTGCCCAGCTCCTGCATGCAGAATACGCATGACAGTGACTTCTGGCTTCTACGTGCGCTCACTGTGCCATGACTTGGGCGCAGCTTTGGGCTCATTAGGAATCATGGCAAGTCTGGTGCGAACACGACAAGGCGACTTTGAGCTTGGGAAGAATGTGCTTCAGTACGAGGAGCTACAGCAAGGGGAGGACGCCTGGGCACCGAGGGTACAGGAAATGCTCGAGCAGTCTGCCAACAGGGATAGGGAATGAAGCGGCGCCGGAGACGGTGCGGAGCGAACTACTGCACGCCTTGGCGGTCATTTCATAAAGTCAAACGAGCGGATTTGAGTAGGTGTAATCTCAATCGTCACAAAAGAAGAGTCTTTTGGTCTTGCTCTCGCGAGGAAAATTGTAAGTTGCGAAGGATCATGCTACAGAGCTTCCGAGCCATGCCCACCGACTGAGGTAGGATGCAGTACATAGCATAACCTCACTGCATCACATCATTCTTCTGCTCTGCCTCGCCCCAAAAAAAAGTCCGAAGACAACTATAGCGTTTTCGTAGCAGTAACAACCACAGCGCCCAACTCATGTCTCCTTACATGGCCCTTCATCTTCTTCGGCATTATAGAACCCGCACCACTGTAATAAGAAGACCCAAACTCGCCTCGCGAGCATGGCACCAATCTCAACTAACAATCAATCGCAGTATATCCGCCTACGCCGCCGGCTTAACCGATACAGTTTACTTCTCCTCCATCCAGCGTCCCAGCAATCCTCTCACAGGGTCAGAGTTCACTTCTCAAGGATAAGTCCTCACTCATCAGTTCGTACATTTGCCTCCTCTTGTTAGCTGCCGTGGGAATGATATGGATCTGGACAACCGACAAAATTATTAAGCGATACTACCTCATCGCAAGAGCGCTGGCGGTTTTGGCGCATCTCTATGGGACCTATGAAGGTTGAGGGCCCGTGGTGTTCTCTGAGATGTGGGAGGTTAAAACGATACGACGGGCGCCAATATTGCCGCGAGCGCGTCTTTGTCTGTTAGTCGCATGTTTTGACTCTCGGCAGAACTTTGGGGAGGTGGGTGAGTGATGGATGAGGAAAGGAAGACGAAAAAGGAGAATTGGTTTGACCGAGGGATCATTTATTGATGGCGACCTCGACAATGTCCTCCCGTAAACCCGGCCACGTTCGCCTTCTGAAAACCCAAAGACCGAGAGCGAGCAGAATCACGAAGAAGAGCATCGGAGAGGCGTAGTTAAAATTAGCGCCTGTGATTGGTATGGTGGTGGGAAATGGCAGCCAGATGATGATGTAGGCCGTATAGACGAGGGCGAAGATGTTCACTGGCATTCCGAGTTTGCCCATGGTCCAGGGTCCGAGCTGAGGTGACGGAGAAGAAGAAGAAGATAGTCGGCGTAAGAACATCATGAGAATCGCGATGAAGTAGCTCAAGTACATCGCGATTGTGGAAAGCGAGATGAAGACCTGCATGGCGACGGTCGAGCCAATGTTGACGAGCGAGAGTAGCACGACGAGCATGCTGGAGAACAGCACTGCTCGGGCTGGCACGCGCTTCTGGGCGTCGACCTATTCGCGTCAGATTGGATGCGTCAGATTGGATGCTACAGGTACTGTATATTGTGAAACGGAGCAGGCTCACATATGCAAATACCTTTGGCAGACCTCCATCTCGTGCCCAAGACCAGCTGAGGCGGGACATGGAAGCGACGCCGGAAAGCAAGGCAAGTATTCCGTTGAACACCAGAAGGCTGCCCATTGCAGTTGCCGCGCGGGTGGAGCCTGTGGCATGCAAGAACACGGCTAGCATTGGCTGGGAGTACTGGAGTGCTTCGTCGATGTTACCGGCGCAAAAGAGAAGGATGACGATGAAGATCCAGCCCATTAAACCGTTGACCAAGTTGGTGTAGACCATGACTCTCGGCACGGTATTGGGCGCCCTGCGGACTTCCTCACTGAGATGGACTGCAGCATCGAAACCTGTCGAGAGATTCAGCATGAGGGAAACGTGTCAAAGCGGTGGAGTGAACTTACCGACAAACACCCAAACGGAAGTCTGCAGCCCGAGATTCCAACTAATGAATTCGTTCGTCCATCCAGAAGTCTGCGTTGCGTCCACACGACTGAGAAACACAAAGCTGGCACTGTGCTTCTTCGCCATAGCCAGTAGCGTAATGCTAAAAGCAATGAACATAGCAAAGTGGAGACCACCTGCAATTGACTCGATCCAAGGAACCAATCTTCCAAATTTGTACACATTGAAAGCAACACAGACGACCATCATGGCAAAGACCATCAATGTCGAATGCCATCCCGTCGCAACATAGTCGGGGTAATTCAGCTGAACGAGACTAATGATCCAATTCGCGGTGGAGTTGCAGATGCCGACGGTCATACTGATCCATCCTGTCCAAGTATTCCAGCCTTGCAACCATGTCGAGAATCGCCTGATATCGGTAGGAGCGAGCGCCCAAGTCCAGTGATACATCGCACCAGCGATAGGTTGCGCCGCTGCCATCTCAGCGAGAGAGGCTGTTTGAGCCATCACTCCAGTCCATACAAGAAGGAAACCCCAGACAAGGGTCTGTGGGCCGCCGTTGTAAAAGACGCTGTACAGGTTGCTTGCGATACCTTCCCAGCTGCTCATGAACGAGACTACGAGGAGGAAGAACTGGACGGAATGGAAGACTCTCTACAAGTGACTCGAGTATTAGCTGGGCAGGTCTACGGCTGTGAGATGTGGAAAGTCGTACCTCGACGCGGGTCTGAGCGACTATATCGCTGTTGACACCCCGTATCGGATCTTCATAGGCTTGCAAGATATCCTTTTCATCGTTTGCTGAAGCCATGACGTCCCTCGAAAATCCGAAATCGATGCTCGACAAGAGAGGTGGATCAAGAGGTCAATGGTAAAAGAAATCGGTGCTGCCTCACCTGCCCACCAGCTGGGTGCAATAATATATGGAGGGTGAGGTTCAGGTACTACATTGCACAAGATTGAGGAAGAGTGGCTTGAGCGATGATTGGAAGAGCCTGGAGTAAGGCGCTGCTGACCTTCCTATGTTTCTGGTGCAGCGCTGAAAGCCATCTCGCTCCATCCAAGTCCGTCTTCACACACCTTGCAATCCTGACGACTTCCAGCTCATGCACCAACTCGGCCTCGATTGGTGTCTTGAGAGGAGAGCAGGACGGACGGTGGACGTGCAGTGTTCGCTCGCTCGCTCGTCCTTTTGTGCTCCCAACCCAAGCATCAGGATGATCAAGCATGGCTGGAACAAGGTGTCGGGATGGAGAGAGGGTTGTGGGTGTGTTGCTCAGAACCAGAAGACTGCCGATGATGATGTTGTACGATCGATCGGGTGCTTCCGCCGATTGCCCCGAAGACCGGCTAGTGCGGAGAGCGGAGTTGGAGAGCCACATGCAGCCTCCAGCCACAGAGCGCTTTCGGCCGACCCTCGATTATTTTATTACACCTTCTGACGATTCATTATTGCCCCCATTGCTCGACTTCGCACCCTCTCGAATACTGCTCGAATCCAGGAGATAGATTGGTTGGCCGATATGTCGAAACTCTCCGAACCCTTGAAGCAATTCATCAATGCAGCCCATGCGAGACCCAACACGATCCCCGCGCCTAAGAATGTCGCGTCAGTGTATGAGCGAATAGCAAGTGAGGCTTCAGGAAAGAAAGTTGGGCTGCCAGCTTGGCTATCTGCCTCGGTGTGTGATGAAAACAACCCATTGCATGTATCGACCAGCCAGATGCTAACGAACGCCCTTCCAGACAGCGGCAACGATGACCATGAACTCCCCAGAATCGCTCCTGGAACTCCATCGTCTGGCAACGTCATCAGCGCATTCAATCCAAGGCGTGAAGAACCAAGGCCTCTACGCCGCAGAGCTGATGCGAGAAATCGGACTCAAATGTATCGGGTTCAATGGAGTCAGTCGACCTGAACACAATAATGCCGCCAATGCCTGCTAAACAAAACACACGCACACAGGTCCCACGCACAATCAACGTCCTCGGGGCTTTCTATGGCGGCCTACCCTCAGACATCCAATCCGCTCTCAAAGAACGGAAACCCAGACGACATCTCTCGAAAGCTACCATCGAAGAAACTCTAGCCCGAGGAAATGCTCTCTGGGATAGCATCTACCACCCGTTCTCCGACAAATTGACCGCGAAACTGGCACAGTCACATCCAGACTTACCAGTGCATATCATCGAGGCGGAATATGGTTGTCTGTTCTCTGACCCGCCCACGCCGAAAGACCCGGAGAGACCGGGTGTTGGGCGGGCTCTTACGTCGATCATTGCTGTTGCTTGTCTCAGATCGCAGAGTGGTGTGGGGCCTCAGGTTGTCAGTCACGTCTTTGGTCTAAGGAAAGCGTTTGAAGATGGCAGCGCCGAGCCGGAGGAGGAGATTCAGGGTGGCAAGTGGCTTGCGAGCAACGAGGGGAGTCTGTGGCTGTTGGAGCAGGTAGACAGCATCGTCCATGCATTGGGTCAGGGAAGGGGGACGACTTTCGCGCCTGGATTTGACAGTGCCCCAAAGGCAAAGCTTTGAGTGCGTAGAACAGAAACCAGATCTCGAGTACCGGACAGACAGATTTTGAAGCACATGTGACTCCTTGTATATGATGTATTCCAATCGGTTTCGCTAGATTTCACAACAACATGAAATAATGGATAATCAAGATATCGACTATTCCATGCGACCCAGAGGCTCGGCGACAGCGAACTTGGCGCCGGTCTTCTGCTTGATCTCGTCTACGCCGACACCAGGTGCGGTCTCGATCAGTGTCAGACCGCCCTTCTTCCTGTCGACATCAAAGACAGCCTGCAAATGAATCAGCACATGTATTCAGACGATTTCGTAACACTATACTCACCAGCTCGGTAATAATAGTGCTGACACATCGAGCTCCAGTTAAAGGCAGAGTGCAGTGCTGAACAATCTTGGGCGCACCATACTTGTCCACGTGGTCGGTAAGCACAACGATCTTCGTCTCGTCGGGGTTCGACACCAAGTCCATAGCACCTCCCATTCCCTTGAAGACTTTGCCTGGGATCATGTAGTTGGCCAGGTCACCATTGGCACCGACTTGCAGAGCTCCGAGCATAGAAACGTCGACGTGGCCTCCGCGGATCATACCGAAAGACTCGCTGCTGTCAAAGACGCTGGCGCCAGGGACAAGAGTAACGGTCTCTTTGCCGGCGTTGATGATGTCGGCATCGAGTTCCTCTTCAGTTGGATATGGACCCATGCCGAGAATACCGTTCTCAGATTGAATCCAGACGTTGCTGTTCGGTGGCAAGAAAGAGGGGGCAAGAGTCGGCATACCAACACCAAGGTTGACGTAGAATCCAGGCTTCAGTTCCTTGGCAGCACGCTTGGCGATGCGGTTCCTGCGGGCAAGAGCATCGGACTGAGCACCTTCAGCTTCAACGTCACGCTCTTCGCGAATCTTCTTGATTTCCAGAATCTTATCCTCAGTGGCTGGCACAATACGGTCGATGAAGATGCCAGGGAGGTCAATCTCGTCAGGTTTCAGCTCGCCGATCTCGACAATGTGCTCAGCCTCAACGATGGAGACTTTAGCGGCTTTTGCCATGAGAGGACCGAAAGACTTGGTGGTGTATCGGAATTGCACATTACCAGCCTTATCGACCTTGTGCGCTCGCAAAATAGCGACATCGCCTTCGATTGCTGTTTCCATGTTGTAGATTCTGCCATTGAAGATTCGCGTCTCGCGTGGTTTGCCAGGCTCGAGGACTTCGCCATCCTTGAGCTTTGCGGGGATTTGACCGGTTTGAATGTAAGTATTGACTCCAGTGGGCGTGAAGAAAGCTGGAATACCAGCGCCTCCGCAACGCAGTTTCTCGGCGATTGTTCCTTGAGGTGTGAGTTCGATTTCGACTTCCCCAGTGAGATACTTCTTCTCCAGACTCTTGTTGTTTCCGAGGAAACTGCAGATTGCTCGTGTGATCTGGCCAGATTCAATAAGAGGTGAAAGACCACCACCAATTGCTGTTCCCGCGTTGTTTGAGACCGCCGTGAGCGAGTGCAGACTATCCTTTCCTCTCCGTGCCATGGCAGTGATAAGAGTCTCTGCTGTTCCACATAGTCCAAAACCGGCCGAAAGAACTGTTGACCCGGATTGAATGTCGGCTACGGCCGCGTCTGCAGACGCGTAGAGCTTCGATTTGCCGCGAATCTTCTTGGGAGCGCTTGCAGTGACTTCTCGGCCCTGGACTGCGCTCGTTCTGAATGTCCTCGTCTGGCTGGCATGTTGCTTCACTTGCCACGCAGCTCGCGGAGCGTCAACGAAGCGAATCTGTACTCGCGGTGCAGCTGCAAGCCGTGACGCGAAAGCCGAGATGGCCTCCATGCTGTTGAATCTATTGCTCACGATTCCGGGACAGACACATTCACCTCACGTCTCGAAAGAGTACTAGAACGGTCCTCCTCGAGTAGGGGCGAGACGAGCGGCAATACCGGATATTTGAAGCGGGACTTGAGTTCGGCAGCTGCTTCTCGGGTAAGCATTCATCCAGCCCCGACCTCTGGAGCTGCGATCTCGGACCGACGCCTCGCCCCAGATTTCGAATCATTCACTTACATGCGCTATTTTAGTTCTTAGCGTGTTTCTGAGAATGAAAGGGCCCCGTACCTTCCATTCTCGACACACGTGAACATGTACCGCCTTCGCACGCGCTCGGTATGGTTGGTTGCCTGTCGCGGCACCAGCCGTGGGGAAGTCACCCAGCCCACCACGAGATTCTAAAAGCCTCCGGCATCCTGGACTTCACAACCCCTTTTCCGAGACATCAATGTCTCCACTGACCAACAAAAACTCTTTCAGTGCCATCCATTACGCACTGAACCATGGCGAACACCAGCACAACCACACGCGTGATGCGCAAGCGCATGAAAGCATCCTATGCAGTTCACGACTATCTCGTGGACATGAACCTGGATGCAGAAGTCTTGGCGGACTCTGACCAAGCAAGCGACATCGACGTCGACTTTGGCTCGCGCAACAAGCCGAAAATGTGCCAAGAAGACTACCAAGAGGATTAAGACCAAGGAACCGCAGCCTCTCCGATTTATGAATCTACCGCCAGAGTTCCGGGATGATATCTATGATCTGGTACACACGGACTCGGAGCCTCTTTCTATCGTTTCTCGCTTGGAAAAGCATCGCCGCTTCGTGACGCGTGGTGCCTTCGCATTCGAGACTGGGACGCGCTACTACGGCAAGTGAAGACACCGTGGAGGCAACCGCGACATTAACACGGTAAGACTGTCATCCCGATATGCCACTCGTTCTTTGCTACTAAGTGGAATCTCATTCTTTGCTCCCACATGGCCGTACACGAGATGTTTGCTGACATCTCACGTTCTGCATGCCAGATTGGTTCGACAAAACATGCCTTCGTTCCCAGTATCTTAGCAGTCAGCAAGCAGATACGCGAAGAAGCATCGTCGATTTTGTACGAACAGGCGCTTGTCTTCCAGGATTTGGCTGCTCTGCACACCTTCGTCATACAGATCGGCTCTGACAATCGACAACTCCTGTCTGACGTGACTGTGAAAGGGTAAGTGATTCGATCCACAACATACCATCCTCTGGAAAGATCTCCAATACCTCGAGGCTCTCTGGCATCCGAGTGCACTTCATCGCATCTATCGCATCAGCCCTCAACGGGATAATTGCGCAGCTCCTTCCCACTTACCTTCCTTAGAAGCTTTCTAACGATTTGAGTGCTATAGATACAGGAGTGAGAGCCCGTGCAACTATGCCGCCTTCTGCGCCCTTGCCAGCTGCAAGAATCTGAAGTCACTGTTCCTGGACTGCGACATTGGCCATAACCGCAGCCCGGAATGGTTGGCGCGCTAAATCCATCGTGATGGTCGCTTCTTCCTCGAAGCGTACGGCACCGCGAATGGGAGCCACGATGCTGCCATTGGCATTCTACAAATGGCCAGCAAACGTCACTTCGTCAAGAGGTCCTGCATCAGATCCAACCTAGAAGATGTCGAGTTTGACACCGACAAGAAGGGGCAGTTCGACGGAGTGCTGAAGCAGATGCTGGCCCCACCCAATCTCAAGCGGAAGAACAAGTCCTAGCGTGCGATCATCCCCTGAAATCTGGTCAGCAAGCTCTCTCGAAGAGAGACCAGAAATGCGCGTGTTACTGTTTGCTAGGTAGAGGTTTCGATGGGTATGTTGACGGAGATGGCGTGACGAAGCGGCATTGATCCTGCATTGGTTGAAGATCCTTTACTGCTCAGTACATACTAGAAGTCAGCCGGCACATGAAAAGGCGTCTATTGCTCAAACTCCACACACCTGTACCGTTGACTTTCCATGCTCTCCAAGGGCGTAGTCCTGCGGTGTTGCTGCGAGATGCTCAGTCACGGCAGCTTACTAGCTCTGCAGACGCGAAAAATGAAGAGCACTGACAGTTATTCCCATCGTTTCTCTTTCTGACAAGCAATATAACGCAGAAGGATACCAAAGCCGTCTATGTACCATGTAAATCATAGCGAGAGATCTGATTTGGCGTCTGCGCGTGTAATTCCCCCTCTTTGCGTACTTGAACTCCATCAAAAGGCCCGCCGCGCCAAGACGTATCTACCCCTTGTACAACCAATCCCTTCTCATGGCAGCCTATTCTGCAAGCACAATCTGCATAGTATCGCGGCCTTCCATCTTTTTCTGACTGTAGCCACGGCTTTTCACGTTTCGGGGGGCGAAGGCTGGCTGGTGCGTGTCTCGCGAGGGGGGTAGTGGAAAAAAGGCGAACGACATCCTGGACAGCGTGCGGGCATGTTTGATTTTGTCCTGGAGTGGGTTGCTTTCCGCGCACTGAACAATCTCTGCTTGCAGTGTCTCCCTTGGGTTGGCGCACTGTGTGATTTCGATTTCGAGATGATGTGTAGACCCGGGTCTTGTCAGGCGCAAGAATTGGTGGAAGTGCAGCGCGGGTGTAGCTGTATGCAGTGCGTGGTGGGTGGAGCGGGCTCGATTTGTCCGGCCTTTGATCAGGCTTGTTGCTGCCTAAGGCGCACATTGCAGCATGTGAAGGCAGACATGAGCTAGCGTGAGAAATTGTCTGACCACTCAGCGTCGCCGGAGTTCGTTGGCAGCACGCTGCGGGGCTGTGTGGGAAGCCAGCAAGTCTTGCCTGAGGCCTCAATGGGTATTCACATGCAAAACTGGACGTTAGCTAGCGTGCAGCGCGAGAGGACCACTCAGCGTTGGCGTCGGTTGCTGCTCACGCATCGCGGGGTCTTGTCGGAAGCTCGGTGTGCTGCCTGAGGTCTCAGCCGAACATTCACATGCATTTTTGGACATTAGCTAGCGTCGAGTGTTAGCTGGCCACTTAGAATGCAAGCTCGGAAGCGTGTGCGTGGTGTCTTGAAGCCGAATCCGAGCCGACTCGCTACGCAGGTGCCCTGTATTGCCGCGCCGGGAAGCGGAGCGTCTGCTCCTTCCCTTTGGACGCTCCCCTCCGACTTCGCAACTCTCGGCATACACCCGCTAGCGTCAAGGGACAATGAGCCAGTGAGAGTGGATTCTGTCCACGTACAGAGCATATAAGCGCCGAGTTGTGGCCGCAATCGGATGGGCAGGCAGCATCGCCGGAGTCGGACGACTTGTAAAAGTCTTGGCGGGACATTTTCGACTCGAGGGCAGCGAGGCACGTGAGGGCCGCACCACACCTTTGTTGCAATGAAACCAGAACGAGCGCAGTTTGAACGGTACATCTAAGGAGCTCGTGTACCCTGAACGAGATTTCGAGATCTTTGCGGCATATCATGCTCGGTCGGGGGTGGAGCACAATCTGGTCACGTGAGCGTGCTCCAGGTCGACTTCGAATGCAAAATTCGAGCATTCAGCATGCGCACTCAATATGGGTATGAGGAGGATCGCTGGGTCGATTAGATGGAGCGTCTGTAATTTGAAAATTGATCAGGGGTTCTCACGACGCGATTCTTGAGGGCTGAGGCTGCGGGCGGAAACGGAAGTCTTGGCAGCTGCTCCGGCGAGGTTGCGACGGCCTGCAAAAATTAGAACCACCTCGATCGTCTCTGGAAAAGTGAGTGTGAATGTTAGCAAAAGAATCAGAGCAAGAGCATTGTGGTTTCAAGCGTGCTCGAGATGTGGCAGGCACTTTGCTAAAACTAAAGGAAATCGCAGACTCGATCTTGCCCAGCAAAACAACGACTGTGCAGGATGAGGCAGAAGGCACTGCCAAAAAGAAAAAAAAAAAACGGACGTGGCGCTGTCATTTCTCTGTGGGAGTCCTGTCATCTTTGATGACTTCGAAACACGATTTTGAATCGATTGTTCGTAAGGAGTCTCCAGTGCGACGTCTCCTATCGCTACGACATTGGCAGCCACGTGAGACATTGGCGGCGGGGAAAATTAAATTTAAATACCTTTAAAGCTGGCTTGCTTGCTCCCTCCACACCTTACACCACATCTCCGAGTCTTGCCTGCACACACTGCAAACACATGGTTTTGCATTCCAATGTCGTGCATCTTTCCTTCACAAGTGTTGTTTCTGTGTTCCCTCCTTCCTCGTGCGCAAAAGGTGCGTATTGGCGGCAAGCATGTTCGTGGAGACCTGAGGCAGAAAGCTTCGAGTAGCCGTCGCAAAGTCCGGACAGCGTCAAGCAACCACCACTTGTCTTCCGTCGTCTTCTTTTCACCACCACAACACGCCTCGTGCGCAAGGCCGCCTCTCTTCCATCGACTGCAGCTTCCATCACATGTCAAGTCGAGCAAATTTTGCTTCCTCTTTCCTGGCCGCCGAGCCTCACGGCCCACGTCCGCGCGAGAATCATCGACGGCTGTCTTCTTGCACATTGCACCGTTGCTGTGACCATCTACAAGCACGACTCTTTGTAATCTTCTTGACATTGTTTGCCTTTCTGGCCGGTGGTCACATCTAGTGATCGGTCGCGTGCATTCGCTTGGTGGCAGCAAACATTGCCTCTCATTCTTGCGTCGGGCAAAAACTCTTCTACATCAGCGTGCCGGGTATGGGAGGACAGTATTGGCGGCTCGAAGGGAATTTCTTTACGTTCGAGATCAGGTTTCCGACATACCACAGTCGACTGTGCTCATGTGAAGGAACTGTATATCAGCAGACAAGAATATCGAGAACCAAAGAAGCTTGAGCAAGCGTTCATCAGGCAGCATTATCGAAACAGGGTGAATCAAGAGAGAAGAAGGAGTCGGCAGGAGGAGAGGTGAGGTAAGATTTAACGTGGATCCTTCCGTATCGCGCGTGCATAGCGTGGAGAACGGAATTCGCGCCAGGCATCCCTGCGACAGACCAACACCCTGTGAACACCTACTCCAGACCCAGGCTTGCCTGCCCTCTTCCGTCGTCCTCGCCAACATTACAACAGAATCACAAGGAGAGGAAGGGCAATCTGGAGGGCTTGGGACTGGCCAGCAGTCAGAATGATCGCATCCGGCTTCACCAACGCTCCCGTGTCCAGGTTGCTGGTCGTCGGCATCGTCGTGACCTCGTTCTTGGCCAGCTTGACTGACACCAAGTATTTCTTCTGGATCCAAGTACGCCCACATCTGTTCGACTACTGGCAGCTATGGCGACTCTTCACATGGCAGCTTTGCTATACGAACAGTACCGAGGTCCTCTTCGCAGCCATGACCTTCTACCAGATGAGAGTGATTGAACGTCTTTGGGGCAGCAGAAAGTTCGCCGTATGCCTCGTTCGCCATGATCCTGCGCCATGCAGTGGCTGACTGGTATGTAGTCCTTCATACTCTCTACTTTCATCTACAATACGCTGCTGCCGCCGATACTTCTCGCGACCATCATTCGACCTCTGAGCTTCGGCCGCATCAGTTACCTCCCAGCCGGTCCAACACCGATCCTCTTCTCACTTCTCGCGCAATACCATGCCGCCGTACCCTATATCTACAAGTACCGAGTTGCGAGCGCTCTTCCAACCGGTACTTCCGCGGAGCAGTATCATGGCTTCATGCTCACCTCGAAAGCCACCTCATACTTGCTCCCGCTACAGTTGTCACTCGCCCAGCTACCAGGCTCTGCGCTCGCTGCATCCGTAGGATGGGTAATCGGTTTCGCATACCGCCGAGAGATATTGCCAGGTGCTGCAAGATGGCGTGTGCCCCTGTGGCTCATCGGTGGAAGTGAGCAGAAAGAGCGGTATGACCATCTGAGGCGACATCTAGAAAGTGAAGCTGGCAGAGCGACGGGGGTGGATAACAACCGTGGAGATGTACGCAGACGTGGAATTCTTGGCGGGCTGGCAGATCAGTTTCGCGGAGCTTTCTAGTGTAAGTCAAGTGCGGACATTTTCTTATTTGGTGTGATTAGTATGATCTCATGTGTACAATTCTCTTGAGCATACACTCGACCTCCCAGGCTCCGTAAAGCGCACGAGCCATGCGCTAGGTGTTTATTGTATCACTAACGATTGTGTTCTATTCAGTTCAGAAGACCCGGGCGCTAGCTCTCTGCTGCTTCGCGGCTAGTGTATGCACAGCTTCTCTCCAGCAATCTAGAAACATCAACAACCTCAACTTTGGCGCCACCACTGCAACTTCGTCAAAATGTTCCCGCTCGATGCTGAGGCCTACAATTGGCTTCTCAAAACTGAGCAGGTCACCTTGGAGGTTAGCCACGCGGAGAAGGGGCAGGTGACTGTTCACTAAGGCTTTCTCGCACTCCGTTCCCCTCACATGGCAGGGCAGGGCAATCACCAAGCCCGGTTCGCTGGTGGACAAGGATGGCAAGCTTCAGCTCGCCAACGGGCCAGCAGCTGCCGTCAAGATATTGGTACCATGGTGCCATGGAGTATGTTACACATCCATCGTGGAGCATGCAGTGGCTAGACATCCGCAGGGCCAGCTTCATTATGTGTTCGAGTGCCAAAAGGTCGGCGCGAGCGACCTGGACAAACGCAAGTCCATCCTGATTGATATCTGGTTCTTTTGCGACATGTAGGTTCTCGTGGATAAAACTTTGGCCTGCAACGCTGAAATCTAGCTCTAGGTACGGCATTGAGAGAGCTCCTCGACGATCGCTACTACGACATGTATTGTTGTCTGAGCGCTCAGACAATCGCGGACTGTTACACAACCGCGAAGGAGGGCTCCACGATCAGAATGCTCGTCGCCGACTGTATCTGTTAAGGAAAGGATAATAGGGAGAAATACGGATCTGATGAAGCGCTTGCGATTTGCTCGGGGATCTTGGAATTTGTTTACTCGCCTGCAAAACAGTCTCAAGACCTGGTCGACTTTCCGCGCTTCAATAAGCCCGCGAAGTTTGCCAATATCCTGACAGTGGCGGAGCATGATTAGAAAGACGAATACGTACCGCCAGCGCAATACGGTAGTGGCTAGATCCATGATCATGTCAAACGCCAGAAGTGCGGTTCCGAAGCAATAGCATACTTCAAACGCAAGTCATGCGGGAAGAATGATGGCGCTTGCCGTTGTGAAGGGCCTCAGTGGTCCGTGTTCTGCATGGCTTGCCGGGAATATGCATCCGGCATCGCTCTTGAAGGAGTGCTACGGCATCTGGACATCCACGAACATCAATCTGACTGTTGCTTCGGTGGGTATGGTGCTATCGCGGTTGCTGCAGGCTCTGGCCCGACGCTTGGGAAGGTCGTAGCATTCATGCTAGCTTTGCACTCCCAAACCATTCGTTGACAGCCTTGCTGCCCTCATGCGCAGCTTTGAATACTAGACCAGATTAATATAGACCTTCTCAAGAGAGACGAGGATACTTACGCTGCCTCTCATTCTCATCTAAACCTTTGGTAAAATCATTGACTGCGACTTTCATATTCTGCGCCTTGTCCGCAATCTCCAGAGTTCGCTGCTTGAAGGTCTGCACAGATTCTCAGCACTGCTTCTCATAATGTAGCCAGAGGGTAACACTCACATCACTCAAGACTTCTGCCAATTCCTCCTCGTCAAACAGCTCTAGCATTCTCTCTCCCATTCCATAAAACCACTGCGCCTGCGCCCTGACGTCCACCGACTTCGGATCCGCGCTCAAAGCGTTCACGACCCGCTGTCCTAGGGCCGGAGGCATGTCTAGCGTTGCGAGAGATCCAGAACCTGAAGGCTGGGATACCGCCAGCATTTCCGCGAGCCAAAGCGGGAGTTCCAGTTTGGTGCCGTTTTCAATTTTGGAGCCGGCATTGAGAGCTGTGAGGTGTGGCACGGCGAGTTCGAAGGTGCAGGGTGCCTTCTGGGCGTCTGTCAGGATGGCATCCGGGGAGTAGTAGGACATGGTGTTGGAAGACGCGTCTTAGGCGCGTCGGCTACGGGCCATGCAGTTCCAGTATAGCCGGTCAGTGTGGCGATGGATTTGCCGGCGTCTGCTTATGGATTTTGAACACGTGATTATCGCTTCTGATGTAGTCGTGTATGTGAGTAGCCTGGTGAAAGAGGCGGGAGGATGTAAGGAGGGTGTATTATGGTACTTGCTATTAATATGACCATTAGCGAAAATTCGGGTATCAGTAGCAATCAAAGGATAAGTAAGGAGGTTTGGAAAATCGATAGTGACAGTCAGAGCAAGAGTAAATATTGATTATTACAGTAACTAGACTAGATAATAGTCTCTACCGGAAAAATATTAATCACTATCATGGTAAAGATTCTATGTAGTAATCACTATTCGCCACGCCTAGACAAAAACTGATTGCGTGTGCCCGGTTGCCTTCGAGTTGATGAAGCTTACAAGAGCTCCAACGGCTCCGCATACAACCACGACTCGGGATCTCACAGCCTTGCGCCTTCCATCACATCAACACAGTGCGGGCACCACCTCCCTCGTGGAATTCCATCCTCTCGCTGCTTGGTGATTCCCTATATCTCGCAAGTGAATGTTTTGTTTGCGAGGACACGGGATTAGTAAGCGGCAGACGTCAACAACCCGAAGGCACGGAGCTCTTGTCGACGCATCCAGATCGGCAAGCTGCTTGGCGCTTTCGTTGTCGCCGTCACACAAGTGTACACCTCTTCGAACTCGCCGACTGCATCTCAACAACCAGAATATCCCTTCCGCATCCTTGTTGTCCCGTGTTACACGCCGCATCGCAAGTGCTGCTGTTTCACCGAAAAGCGCCACATCCAGTCCCGAGTACATTCCGCTTGACATACCGAACGGAACATCCCCAGAGCCGTATCTCGTGACCGACCATTACGCCCAGAGGACCGAGGGTGAAGAGCTGGGAAGCTTCATACGTGTCGAACAAATCATACAAGAAGTAATAAATTACAAATTGAAGCTCACGCGATTCTCCAAGGACCTTGGGCGTACAGGGTTCCAATGAGAGATAGAGCTTCTGCACGGCAAGCTTTCTATCCAAGATGACGGAGGAACGGGAGATGTTAGACCAGCATAGTCGCTCCATGGCCTCTATGCTGGACGCGGGCCATGGCAGAGGGCATGAGGATTCGCGAGCGACATCACCGGGCGCGCCTGCCCAGCGTGACAACGCCAGCAATGGCGAGCCAGACGAAGACCTCGCAATCGAACGGCTGGGAAGAACGCGGCCTCGAGTCTTCCCGTACACCAGATACCTCCCATACGAGACCGAGTCGCAAGAGCAGCGCGAGCAGGATATGGATGAGATGATCAAGAACCTCTATGTCGCCGTGGCATCTGGAGACTTCGTGCCAGGCGCCGTGCATTGGACAAAAGAGATAAGAGGTTGGATGGGCTTGAAGTTCGACTTGACCAAGAGACAGCGTATAGCACTGGTGAAGCTCTACTTTGAGCTTGCTCTGGCGCCTGGTCTCGAATATGGCGTGTCGGAGCGTTTTGCTAGCATGTTCATGGTTCTCACCAAGCGCAAGCACTACCTACGGCCGGGAAAAGACCTCACGCTTGATTGGCGACCACTGTACAAAGAGCTGAAGGTCTTCGTCTTGCCCTCTGAGAGCCCGACACCGAATACATTCAGCAGTAAGCGTAACGTGCGGACGCTGACGAAGCTGTGTACTTTTGCACAGCTCTTCTTCGACGCGCGAGAGATTCCGAGCATGCTGGAAGAGTTTTTGCCTTACTACAGCATGTCGTTCTCTGAACAAGCATTCGTGGTATCAGGACTTCTCAACTTGATGCTGCCGACTGCACCACCTCCAGCAGACGACCCAAAGCTCCAGCCGCAGTACTATCTACCCACGTTGTTCCACTTGTGGGCAACCGTGAGCAGGTCTTCCATGACGGACATGCGTTTTCTCGATATCTTCTCGCGGCAAGCTAGGGACTGCCTGGGAGCTGAGCAGGTACCCTTCGGACCATGCGGTATATTTACCGAAGATCAAGCATCACTCATCTATACTGCGGTGTTACGATTGCTCGAGATCCCAGTCGGCCAGGCTACAACACCCTACAGCCCGAATGTGGATATCGGCGCTGGAACAGCCGTCTTCCTCGATAGAGATCCTCGAAAGCACCCGGTGGCTCACGGGATCGCAAGATGGATCGTCATGTCGTTATCACCACAGTGCTTGGAAGTAAAAAATCTCAAGTCCATCTTACACCAGCTTGAGAGCCTGATTCAGGGTATCGAGACGTTCTTCCACCCCTCCAACTCCGGCAGCTGGACCAAGCCTTTGTCACAGCTTGTCTATTATCTCGCAGACTTCTTCGTTATGCGCTGGAACCGCGAGCAGAGCGGGGAATACGAAATTCCGGCCGATCGCAAGCTCAACGAGGAGATGAAACGACGCTTCGTCCTTTGCCTGCGAGATGTCGTTCTAATGGGCATTTATGCCAAGAGCGGCACTGCCATGAACTACAGTCTCAGCACACTTCAGAGTCTCGCCTATCTTGAGCCGACTCTCATCTTACCCGGTGCTTTGCAACGCATCTACCCAGCTATGCAGGGTCTCGTCGAAGTGCACCGCACGATATCCTCGATACGGGCGCTTCAGATGTTAAGTAGAGTCATCGCGAAGACCAAGGGTTGGAGGTGTCACTTGACCACGTTGTTAGGCCTGGCTCTGCCTGGAGTTGACGCAAATGATCTTGACAAGACCATGCACAGCTTGGCCTTCATACAATCCGTTTGCTACAACATCCCGCTGCATGACCTCACGAAAGAGCCTCGTCGAGTGAAGAGCGAGCTGAATGGTGACTATGAAATGGTCGATCCAGATTCGCCTCCTCCCGAAAGTACTGGCACCGGGATCGCCGTTCAGTGGATCACCTCTCAGGTCGACCGTTTCGAGCAAGAAGGTCCTGAGCTAGAAGTTGACTATGCCTCAGAGCTATCCGCGGAAGAGGAAGAGACCGTTCTGAAGTCTTCGACTGCTGGCTTTGCTGAGTTCTTGATCAGCTTTCTTGGAAGGGTGTTTACGCTTCTGCAAAATCTGCCAGACGCAGCTCGTGTCAAGAGCGGTAGCCCAGAGGAGAACGTTGTGAACACGCTGCCCGCAACTTTCAGCCCTCTGCTTGCCAGTCTGAGTCCAGAGTTGTACGACATTGCGTTGGACCACATCGCGCGATTCATCTCCAATCATGTTGTACACCAAGCTCGTGATGCAATGGCCTTCATCTGCAATGCTCTCGTCAAGATCTCCCCGAAAAAGGCGCTGCATCGTTTACTGCCAGACTTGATCTCCAGCATCAAGACCGAGATCAGCGAAAACGGCGCTGGCTCAACGCGTACCACTGGCAGCGAAATTCTTCCCAGGGACAGAGCACTTGTGTGGCACGTGTCTCTGCTTAGCATGTGCGTAGTACATGTCGGCCGAGATGTGCTTGATTACCAAGACGACCTGTTCGACATCGCGGCCTACATGCAGGACACGTGTAAGGGTATCCCACTGGTACATGTGTCGAATTTTGTCCATCATCTGCTGCTCAACCTTACCGTGAACTACACACAAGATTACTTGCTATTCAACAAATCAGAAATCGACCATGGCCTTACACCGAGCAGTTGGGGAAAGAATACCGACCCAGCTTCATTAGACATCAACTGGCATGTACCAGATCAAGAAGAATTGACATTCGCTGTCCGCATGTTTGAGGCGCAAGGTGGTCGAGCGCTGAAGTCTCTTAGAGAGCTGATTTCTAACACGTCTGCGGTGAAGAGAGATGGTACAGGCAAAGACTGGTCCGACGAGGTGTCTCGCAATCTCGTCCTGCTCCGGTTGATCATTTCTGGCATGTCGCGCCTCTTCCGTTCGGACGACGAGACGATTGCTCCCTATACCTTCGCGACTGCGACACCGGCGAGTTTGGAGAGCGTTGATGACGATACCGCAATGGTGTCATCTCCGGATAGCCCTGCAGACAGCGCGATGTCCATGGAGCTCAACGAATGTGAAGAAGAGAAGGTGAAACGCTCCTTTCACTACAGCACAGGATATCCTTTGGAGATTGGGAGCCCGCTATATGAGACTGTCCACCAGCTCCGCAAAGGAGCCGGAGAAACACTACATGAGGTGCATGAATTCCTGATAAAGAACCAAGAAGACGACGTGCCTTGCTTCAATGCTTTATACAGTGCGTACAAGTCCTGGTTCATGGACATAGGCATAGAGCGCTCAGCCCACGTTCTAGATAGGCTGACGCGCCTGCTTGCTGCTGACATCCACCCTTTCAAGTTCTCTGGCACGAGAAAGCAATACCCACGGCCACTGCTTGTGCGGCGAGCTAATCTCTACCACTTCCAACGCTTGCGCTTCAATGAACATCCAAGGGCTGCATCAGACCTGGACCGAACTCTGCTACTTGACTTGGCACACTCGAGCACGTCCATTTACACCGACATTAGGAGGACTGCCCAGTCGGCTGGGGAGCAAGCTGTGAAGAGCATTGTCGGCGCGAAGCCTTTGATCATACCACCGCTCCTGGATGCTTTGGAGGATGCTCTCAAGAAGAACGACCATCCTCGAATCAAGGGAGCAATGTTCTCTCTGCTCTTCGGAAGCTTGGCCAAGCCCCTCGGCCGAAATTGGAAACTGGCGCCACGAATGATCAAGCTGTTCATACAGGTGTCAGAGGCCGATCGCACCAGCATTCAGAAGTTGGTCGCGCAGTCAACATATACCATTCAGGATATGACCAAAGCCATGGATCGCATGGTCATCCTAGACGAAGACACTCTGAACGCAATATGGCCAAGCGAAGCGTCTAGCATGACGAGGACTATTGCTCGCACAATGGAGGATGCCCAAGCACTCGTACCTCCAAAGCGAGCCAAGTTGAAGAAGAGAAGAGCCGCTGTCGAGAAGCGCAAGAGTGAGCTAGGCGCTGAGCTGATCGAGACTATCAAGACCAGCCACTGGAAGAAGGCCAGCAGGACGGCAATTATGGCGATTGGGCTTGACTACCGATTTGAGAACATCGCTAGCAACGGGTTACTGGAATTGGTTGTCAAAGGAGTCGTTGATCCGCATCCACAGCTGCGAACACTCTACGCGACCTCACTCAACGCCATCTTCAGTCTTACACAAGCTCGAGCGCTGGTCGGACATAAGTACGAGAACTATTTACTTGACGAGCAAACCGATCCGGACGAGGTATCTATCCCGACCGAGCGGGACGACCCTACATGGACGCAGCGCTATCTTGAGATGTTCGCCAAGCCGGATGCCGAAGCATACATTGACAGCGATTTTCCCGGTTGGCTGGTGTGGAACAAGACCATGCGCGGTTTCCATACTGGGAAGAGTCAGCTCGAATACGACGAGACAGAGATGAACGTTCGTCGCAAGATGGGTCAACATATCGATCGACATTGGCTATCTACATACTTTGGCTACATGAAGCAGGAGCCGCGGGATGGACAAGACCGATTCCGAATGTCTAGCTCCATGATCGTTGCCTACGCCATGGACTTGACGGCCAACGGTCTTACCAACGCCACATTCGATGACTTCAAAGATCTCACCCAGGCAGTGTATGGTGATGGTTCTGACAAGCATCAGCATCGAGCCATGTCCGAAATTATGGGCGCTATGCTGTCGAGCTCGGAAGATTACGACCTTGAAACGAGGGAGAAGATTTGGGACTTTGCATTTCCCATTGTCAGACGCATCTTCAGTGATGGCCTGACCCCGGAGAATAGCTCGTATTGGTCCACCTTCGTGAGCCTCATAGTCGGAGGTAAAGACCCACGGCGTGCATGGCCCTTGGTAGATTGGCTCGCGAGCTTCAGACTGGACATGCAAACCAGCGCCGCTTTTAAGGAGAGCTCGAAGATCCAGCTGCTGCAATTGATCATTGGTGCGCTTGGATGGCACTTCCAGCTTCACAAGCCGATCCAAGAAGACTTTCTGGCACACATCGACCACCCATATAAGAGCGTGAGAGAAATTATGGGAGGAACGCTGTCCACCATCTTCCGCACGCGTTATCACGAGTCGTACAAGGACGTTCCGACCCTCTTGGAGGTGCAGAAGGCGGCTTCTCCCATCGGTACTCGGCCATACCAGCCGACAGAAGAATTCACGGGTATCATGGTTGATGTTCTTGAGCGCCTTGAGAAGTGGCGGAAGGAGCGCCCGGCTGGAGCAACGACGCCTACACCCTACACACAAGCCAGCAAGACCATTCTCCTGTGGCTTGATGGTACGCTCTCTAACTACAACTGCACCTCGCTGGTGCCGTTCTTCCCCAAGTCGCTCATGCAGCAGCTTCTGTACATGATGGATATCAAGGAAGACCCCGAACTTCAAGGATTGGCCTATCACGTCTTCCGTCATCTACCCAACATACCTCACGGACCGGGCGAAGACGAGGAATTTGTCGCGTCTTTGCTCAAGATCGGAAGAAGCGCCTCATCCTGGCACCAGCGTTTGCGAGTCTTAATCAACATTCAAGTGTTCTACTTCCGTCAGCTCTTCCTCATGCCGGTCAAGCAGGCCGAAGACCTCTTTTCTTGCTGCCGCGAGATGCTTCATGACGTACAGCTTGAGGTACGATTGGGCGCAGCTGCAACGCTTGGTGGTATGGTACGGTGCTCGCCGATAGAATTCCGGACCAAGAAAATCGAAGAGCTCAAGAAGCACTTCACTGATCTCCTTGTCAAGAACCCTCCGCCCAAGCGACCGAAGGGCGGTATGAGAGAAGGCACCAGCACGCCGACGCAAGAGCAGAACAAACTTGTGCTCACGCGGCACGCGGCTGTCCTGGGTCTCGGGGCGCTTGTTCAGGCTTTCCCGTATGTGTCGCCACCTCCCGAGTGGCTGCCTGAGGTGCTGGCAACACTGGCAGGTCGTGCGGCGAACGATCCGGGGATGGTGGGAAAGAGCGTGAAATCGGTGCTCAGTGACTTCAAGAAGACCAGGCAGGATACTTGGCACGTGGACGTTAAGGTGAGTCAACCATCCACACAGACTAATCTGTTTGCTACCTCTACTTGGAAAGGAGTATGTGCTGACTTTCGTTCGGCAGGCATTCAAGCCAGAACAGCTTGAGGATCTGGAGGGTGTGTTGTGGAAGAGCTATTTCGCCTAGACGCATTTCTCATCGCTTGCATGCACACTGTCGACAACGGAGCCCGACAGGCATCATCTTCCTATCACGCGAGTTTCACAGGACGAGTGGTCGGACATACATGTACAGTAGCATCAGGGTTGCCTTCAGGTGGCGGCGAATAAGGGGTTCCGGTTCATGTGTCACGGAATGATGGTGATTAGCGGCATTGCAAGGTGCAGGTGGTCTGGACGTCAAGAGAGGCAACCTCTAATGAATGAGAAGGGCTTTTGTTCTCCCGCAAGAAGGCACACGATCATGGGTCGTGACTCGTCCGTTTTGGTGCTCTGTGCTGATGTGTGTCGTACGGTTGAGGCCGACAGAAGGCCGCAGATAGGCAAATGCGGTAGGTGATCACGCAGTGTTGTGGTGGAACGTTGCCTCTTGTGCGCCTTGGGAGACATCGGGGGTTGTCGAACAGTTGCAGCCTCCTTACCCTCTGCGCGACTTCCGGCCTCTCTGATGAGCAGTCGCCGTCCTCGGCATGGAGTTCGGTCACCAGCGACGAGCGGGAGACCTTCGTTACGCAGATACGTTGCAACGAAGACGGTCGTCTTCCGAAGACCATACACGAACCATCTGTACCACGGATGGAGGGATGTCGCGTGGATCGGACAATCTCTTGTGAAGCGTAGTACTCCAGAGAAGCAGGCCACGCTCCGACGGATCTAATCGACAGGCTTAAATGCGCACCACTGTTTCGAATGAACGCCTTCTCGAACATTTCTGTTTGCGCCGAGGTGGCTGAGTTGCCGCCTGGTTCGTCATACGAAGGCGGAGAGTCTTCCTGGGATCCCCTAAGGCCGTCTGAGGCACGTTGCCTGGATTGGGAGATCTCGTGAACGGACGTGAGTGGTCGCACTGCGTTGATGAGATGTGTCGAGTCATTTTGCTTGTTAGAGACGGCCTCTCGATGGGAAGGGAGAAAGGAGAGAGCTGTGGAGGGAAGGGAAGATATATATTCTATTCGTGGACGCTACATGTGAGTTTTGAAGTGGGACAAGGATGAACCTTGGGAGCCCCACAAGCAGATCGTCAGGAACGCGCAACAACCACTCACCATCGTCACATATGTTCTTTGACCACACTCGCCAACCTCGGAGACGGCACGAAGTGTTCGACGAGGATGGGCGACAAGGAGAGATGTCTCGGAGCTATGTGAACCTCACCAGGCCGCCGCCAACTCCTCCTCCGCCGTATGAAGCCCACGACAACCAGCTCCTGCAGCCGATGGAGACGATGGCGTTCTATCGGCAGCCCGCGCAGTCGCAGCAATACTTGCCCGTAGCACAGTCGCAACACAGACTGAGAAAGAGGCCTTCGGCTTGGACCTCGACGGTGGACCTGTCGAGGCAGCGCAACGAGGGTCGGTACGGTCAAGAGCTTGGCCAGCAGAATGCGTTCAACCGCCCTTCACCAAGTCGGATGGATGATTGCCCTATCGCGAGATCAATGAACCAGGGAGCTGCACTCTGTGACCGAGTTGCTGCTCGGATGAATGAGGCTCTCTCCAGACTAGACTGCGACGAGGAAGAACACGACCAAGTCAAAGAGGCAATACGAGGATTAACGATCTCGGGAGAAAGAAACGCGCCGGACTTATTGAAGAGCAACAGCATCATCGATTTCAAGAAGACATGGCATTACGCCAATTCACGACTCCCGCCTTTCCTGCCTCCCATGAAGATATTTCTCCCAACGTGGCAGATTATATGTTCGGCTGCTCAAGCTTCTATGCATGTGTATCGACGGCCACACAGGGATGAAAGAGCGGATTATATTGAGGCAGATTGGAGGCATGGAACGAAAGCTATGGTTGTCAAGAGCAGGCCGGTCGATGATGAGAATCTAATTGTGATTGCTATTCGAGGATCCAAGTGGAACGTTGTGGATTGGGCGACCAACTTTCGACCTGCACCTTCTGAGCCTGTTGGCTTCTTGGATGACGAAGGCAATGCCTGTCACGCTGGTTTTCTACAAGTTGCACGAGCGATGATACCACCCATCGCTGCGCGGCTTCGGGACTTGATCGAGCAGAATCCCTCTCGAGCCTCAAGCTCGCTTCTCTTGACTGGACATTCGGCTGGTGGTGCCGTTGCAAGCTTGCTGTACATGCACATGCTGGCTACGACGTTCGAATCTGAACTCAACATTCTCGCGGGATGCTTCAAGCGCGTCCATTGCGTTGCCTTTGGTACTCCTCCACTTACGTTCTTGCCTCTGCAAACTCCCGCAGGCAAGCGGTACGAGCGCAACGTGTTCATGCACTTTGTCAACGAAGGAGACCTCGTGGTAAGGGCAGACAGGCAGTACCTCGGAACACTGGGTAGGATCATCGCCGCTCCTTCACCCAAACTCAACTTGAATGCATCCCATGGTTTACGGTCCAAAATCTCTCGCCACAAGCTCTCGTCCGCTGCTCAGACTGCGGCCCAAAAGCTGCCCTGTCGCTGGGAAGTCCCGCCTGCTACTCTTTCTAATGCTGGTCGTCTGGTGCTTCTGAGAGAGACGCCAGGGAAGGAGAGAGCTGTTGAAGCAGTCCAGGTGACGGATCAGCAGCTGCGTACCGTTGTCTTCGGAGATCCTGACATGCATCGCATGGACTTGTACAAACAGCGTGTGGACGAGCTGGCCTCCGCTGCTATCACCGGACGAGATCTGGGTTGAGGCGGAAAGACCCAATGATGACTAGTGAGATGAAGCTAAAAGTGCCGCAGTTTCATGTGATAATGCTGGCCCATGTGAAGTTTGCTGAATTAAAGTGGGTCCGTGCTCGTGCAGGGCGGTCTCTTCCAACTTCGCTTCACGTCGCACAGCGAACGGAACAACGAGCAGCAATCAAGAACAACCTTGGACTGCCGCGCAACGTCTGCCCTGTTGCCGCATCCTTGTAGCCGCAATACAAAAACCAAGCGCGCTTTCGAAGAAGTCATTCCAACACCATGTCTGCCCGATACCAGCAGCCGACAGTCAGCGATGCTGATGCGGACGGCAACGACGGTGGACCACCTCCTGGTGATCCACCGCATGTCACTCCCCCGCCGCCTCCAGAGGACCCCTCGCACATCAACCTCGTCATCCGCCACAACACTTACGGAGATGTCTCCTTCAAGCTGAAGAAAACCACCAAACTCGGCAAAGCCATGTACGTACTTGAATAGTCTTGCTCTGCTCGAAAGAGAGCTGATATCTGAGTTCAATAGGGAGGTATACAGTACCCGCCAGCAGCGCGACATGAAGACCATGCGCTTCTTGTTTGAGGGAGTCCGCGTCAATGCCGATGATACGCCCGCGTCGGTGGGTCTAAAACATCATTTTTACACCTTGCAACGTGCTAACAGGATTCCCAGCTTCACTTGGAGGATCAAGACATCATCGAAGTTCATGAGGAGCAGATCGGTGGTGGAGTGAGCCTGGTATAAGCAGCACACTTTCGACATTCTCTGCCGCCAACGGACCGTTATCTTGGAATCACAAAGGACAAGAGAAGGCTACATCGGTCTTTGAGCACTTTTAAGGCTAGCGAATCTTGCAATGCGATGGCATGGCGGTTAGTTCTGATACCTAGCGAGGCAGCGACGGAAATGACACAGGGCTCTCGGTCCTACTACAAACTCTCATAGTAGCCGCTCCTGGAATGCCATTCAATCTACTGGCAGCTTTGCTCCCTCTTCAGCTCGTTCGCATCATGTTTCACCGTGGCTCCCTGTCGGTTGTACTTCGGCTATCTGGCACGTGAAAAGCTACGTCATACGGATGACTAACGCAGTCGACCTCTTCCCTCGCACCCATGCGCGCTCACCTTATGAAGGCACCTTCGTGGCGTCTATACACGGAGATAGCTGCCTCTGCCCTATTTACTTGAGCCCTCTTGTGAAGTGTCAGGTCCTCTTTGCCTGGTCTACTTCTCTTTCTCCGCGCCAGCCAGCGTCAGCTTCAGCTCCAGCTCCGTACGGATCAGACGACTCAAGGAAAAACACGCATTAGTTTCAAGATGCCACTCACCGTTCTGAGCGATAAAGACGTCAGCAAGATCCTCCACTCCTTCAACAAGGAAGATATCCTCGAACTTCAGGAATCCCTTGCCGATGCCCTACACTGGTATTCCACTTCCAACGACGCGAATGACTGCTGCTCGGACTATCAGCCCGAGCGAACGCATCTGAAGCGTAAAGATGGATCAACTACGCTGTTCATGCCTGCTTCGGGCATGGATGGACAGGGCGTTAAAGTCGTGAATATCGTGCCTCCTGATCAGGTGGGACTCGCTGCTCTGACGGAGAATTTGAGCTTGGGGAGTTCGGATGGGGATTCGAGGAGTTCTTCTAATGAAAGTTCGACTTCGAGGCAGGAGAGCATGGATACGAGGGGTTCTTCTTCTTCGACCTTGCCTCCTTCTGTTTCCGAGTCTACGGATGGTGCCGGGCAGGGAGATGTTTCGACTTCCGAGAGCAGTGGTGGTTCTACTTCGACCATCAGAGGCTCTCTTACGCTCCTGGATCAGCTGGGCAATACGACGGGTCTCATTAACGCCGAAGAAGTCACGGCTTTCCGCACCGCCCTGGCCTCCACCATGCTCCTGAAGAAACGCCATTCCGTCCACGACATGACCGTCTTCGGAGCCGGCAAACAAGCCTACTGGCACATCCGCCTCGCCCTCCTCCTCCGTGGCGAGGATATCCACCACCTCAACGTGGTCACCAGAAATTTCGACAGCGCGAGGAAATGTATCATGCGACTCTACAACCCTCAACCGGACGATCCGGAATACGTGAACCATGTCGGGGAGAGATATAATAGCCAGACGAAGAAGAACATCCTGACACCCATGCATGGCGAATACCGCCGGCTGTTGAAGGAGTACGTACGCGCGAGTAACGTCATCTTCTGCTGTACACCGAGCACGGAACCGCTCTTCCCGGCTACCTATCTCACGAATCCGGAGGGGAGGAAGAAGGGGCGGTATATTGCTTGCATCGGTAAAGATTCACACCCCAACCCCAACAGAGATGGTATAGTACTGTATCATTGACGAATTTTTCCTTTTCTTCAGGTTCTTATAAACCACACATGTGCGAACTCCACCCGGACATCCTCCGCTACGCCGTCGCCCCGCATCACGAACACAAACACATCCACAAGAGGCAACAAGAAGGCGGAGCCATCCTCGTCGATACCGTCTCCGGCTGTCTCAAGGAATCAGGCGAGATCCTCCAGGCGAAACTCACGCCCGATCAGGTCGTGGAGCTCGGGGAACTGTTTATGCTGAAACGGGACGCGGAACGGGAAAAGGGGAAGAAGAAGGAGGAAGGGTGTAATTTCCAGGAGAATTCCGGGTTGAAGGATTGGTTGATGAGGGGCAATGTGATTTATAAGAGTGTGGGGTTGGGGTTGATGGATGTGGTGGTGGGCGGGGAGTTGTTGAGGAAAGCGAGGGAGAGGGGGATTGGAGTCTTCATTGAGCAGTTTTAGTAATCTCGTCTCTCATTGAGCTGCATGGAGTGTGGATGGGTGTGTAGCGACTGATTGAGCGGCACTGGGTATCATGGTGTCAAAGCACGCAAAGAAAGAAGCAAGCAGCGCTAGCCAGCCAAATGCCTTCTCCTGCCGCGGTTCCAACCCCTGTCCTCAAATCGCTCTGCTGTTGTTTGTGACGGTACATCCAGTCGCCGTGGTGGTGGACGCGTCATGCTGAGTGGTGGCCACTGTACTGTACTGTTCTGGGCCCCAGGTTCTTCTCGCCGTAATCCCCCCTGAAGTTGTGTGCTTCTTGTGCCAAAGCTTTCAATGATTAGAGCCGTCTATCACTCGGTGCAATGAGCTGAGACAGACACGCTCTCAATGAAGCCGACTTCCCAACCGCCCGCCAGAGTCGAAGACGCGGCAGCTCTCGGGGCAGCGGTCGTGTAGACACTGCAAGTTGGCGCACACCTTCTGCTCCACGATCGTCTGGGCGCCGCAGATGCAGCAAGTCCAGCGCTTGCTGGCCCTAAAAACTCAAAAGTCAGCAAAAGATTTCTCAAAGCAGCATGTGTTCTGTGAAAATCATCGATGGATGGTTACGCACCCCCAAGCCATAGCCGGACGACTGGTGTTCAGCAGCTCCGACTCCCACTGTTGGCCCGGATGCTTGGTGAAGTCGTGAAGCGGCGGGCGGAAGGAGACGGTCTCGTAGTCGTAGGGCTTCCACGTCGTCTCGTCCTCAGTGGAGGGAGGAGGTGGTGGTGGTGGTGGTGGCGGAGAGGTGGCCTTGTTCTTGCCCTTGTTTCTGGCGAACTTGATGAGTGGCGGCTTGCTTGAAGAGGGAGACGTGACCGGTGGCGTGCCGCCGGCTGGCGTGCGCGTGCCGAACTTGCCCTTGGGTGCATCGATGAATGGGCGGACGTCGTCGTCGATCTTGGCTCGAGAGGAGGAGCGCGGTGGTGGCGGTTGCGCTTCGACGTCCTCGTGTGGGAGGCGAGTGCGTGGGGAGGGCGTGCGCGAGGCTTCGACTTTGCGGATGTTCAGGCCTGGCGGCGCCTCGATGGACTCCTCGGGCATCTCGGCGAAGTCTTTGGACTCGATGCCGTTCTTTTCGAGGCGCTCCTGACGGCGCGTGCGCGAGCGGCTTGCGCGCTGAGAGCTGCTGCCGGTACCGGCGCGGGTGCTGTCCTCGTTCTCTTTGAGCTTGTTGAGATTCATGTTGGAGTCGCTAGGAGAGACCATGTTGAATTTGATGTCGACACCGTTGACGCGTTCGATGCGGACGGCTTGTGCGGTGGCGAGTTCTGGTGTGCTGCTGAAAGATCTGACTGTCTCCTCCTCCTCCTCCTCCTCTTCTTCTTCAATGTAGTTGCGGTCGTCAAAAAAGCTTGGCTCGTTCTGGAGCTCCTCTTGGAAATCGCTGGCTTTGCCGCGCAGGAGTGGCAGAGGCTTGTTAAAAGGGTCTGGGCGTAGCGGCCAATGGTGGTCGTCGCGGGTAACTTGTTGCTTGTAAAGGGGTATGCGCTCAGATGTAGTGATTGCAGTGCCAATGGCGGCGGCTTCTGGCGAGCCGTCTTTGTAACCGTGTAAAGCTTTGTGCGAGTGCGAAGTATGCAGCTGTGGATCTTGAGATGCTTCAGTAAAGCCGGCGGGCGGAGCCGGTATGTCGCTTAGGTTGTTATGCTTCTTTGGCGATGGTGTTTGTGGTGTTTTTGCGGGTGCCTGTTTGCTCTCGTCAGTTTCTTGTCGCTTGCCTCCCTTCCGCTTGCGAAAGAACGCGTGCATGGCGGGCAGGCGTGGCAGGCGTGGCAAGTGGCATCCGAGTGTTGTGTGAAAGTGTTGACTGAAGCTCGAGTTAGCTGTTTTTGATTCTGTGGTGAGGCGTGGCGCAGCCCGAGTGAGCTCAAGTGAGGATGTTGTGGCGAGTGAGGCACGTGCGCGCGCATGTGAAACTTTCTGCAGCGCGCGGTGAATGAACCACAGTGAACTCACCTTACTATTCGCGGCCAGAAGAGGAGCTGCATGGAAATTGAAAATGCCATTGTCGCAACTATCAATCAGTACAGCGCAGAGGGGGTATCTTGCTGCCGCAGCCACCGCTCCCTCTCCCTGGGCCGCAGCTCTCGAGACGCGATAAAAATCATCCGCAGCCGTTCGGTCGACATCTCCTCGCCTGGGCGGAATCTGAAGGCTTGAATTATGGTCGTTCTTCACTCGGCGCGGCCCACGGTCCTCCAAATCCAAATCCAAACGCAAACGCGCTCCGAACCATCACAAGCTCCACGGTCAAGGCAACATTCTGATACCTGTCCAACCCGCCAGGGCCCACAAGCTCAACTGCATTGGGAATTGGATGGCAAATCCAAGCATCCTGCCGCTGCCATTCTCCTTTTTCTTCTGAGTATACCCGATCGCAAATATGATTCTTCCAAGGATCCATCCCGCGCCCAGGAGCGTGCTCAGCCGAGGGTATCGCAGACCCGCGAGCAAGATCGCAATCGCCGTGGATGGTTGATTTTCGACATAATTCGCATGAGCTCTCTGCGCACAGTTGAAGAGATAGAGGTCGTCCTTCTGTTCGGGTTTCGCGGCAGCTACGTCGGCGGTATCTGCATAGGCCTTGGGAGCCCATATCTTGACCTTGGTTCGGAAGGGCCTCGCTCTCGCGCCATGCCAAAGGCCGAGCTGTCTCGTGTGTCAGTGTTGGTCGATCTGAGGGGTATGGCACACTGACGAAGAAGGTAAAAGCGGTTGTCGCAACAACATAGCTAGAGTGAAGTCAGCTATCGATGCGGCTCAGCAAGGCCGTCAACAAGCTCACCCATATTCCTCGGGAACGACAACCGTAACAGACATGTTGACAGCTCTTCCAGACGAAGTAGAGAGAGAGAAAAGATTCGACAGCTTTGTAGCGGGATCCGACGACAGGTATATAAGTATGCGCTAGGAAACCCGAGTCGCAAAAAGGAATACAAGAGGAAAGTATACTTGAACCGCCCCGCAGCGAAAAGTATGAAGGGCAGAGATCTAAATATATGTGTTGGACAACCAGACAGGACCTGGGAAGGCACGAGGCAAACCTCGAACCTCAGCGCCCAGAGGCCGTGCCCGCCCCACCCCACGAGAGAATGTATGTGTGTGCTGTGTGCTGTGCGCCTGGGCGTGTGCCAATCACCGAACGAATCGATGAGAGAGAATCGCGCGGAATGGGCGCTGGATGTCGACGAGAATGGCGGCCGGCGATGGGCCTGTTGTAACGCATCCGCCGCAAGGGGAAAGAAACGTGAATGTTGGAAGATAGTTCAACGACTAGACTAGCGATATGGGAAATGCAGCAGAGCGGAGGAGCCCGCAATGCACTGCAAGGCGGGCTGCAAGCGAAGCCGGGATCATGTTGTGCATTGCATAACCGCAATCTCCCACACTTCCAAGACTTCATCGCTAGCCTGGATGCCTGAGGCTGAGACACCTCGGTTATCCCTCCGAACTAGCGCTCCCGACTCGGCCCGCCGCATGCAGGGTCTTCGCGTCTCCATCCCGATGAACCTCACTCACGTTTGACATGTGACAGGAGGAAGGACAGAAGGCGAAGCACGCGAGCAGCAAAAGGCACGTTACCCAGACACACCACCACCACCAGCACCGGCAAATGTCCCTCTGTTACACCCGTGGATACTGACGCCCTCTAGCGGTCCTATGACGAGAACCAATCACCGAGCTTCGCAGGACCAAATTCCCACCTACCATGCACGCAGCCGCGAGCGCCTGCTCCCAGCTGTGTGTGCGAGGGTGCGGGTGTTGCCATGGCTGAGTCATGAAAGAACAGAAATCTAATGGATCTTGCACGCGCGCACGCGACTTTGCTTCTTCTTCTTCCTCCGACACACGCGACTGCACCCACCAAGAACTCACAACCCGGAACGTCCCTTTCTTGCCGAGCTGAGACGAAGGGCACGTTCGCGCCGCAGACGTGTCAGCATCATGGTGCGCCGATGACCGAGCCTTCTTCACGATCCAGCATCGCCGCCTTCCACCGGATGGGTTTGGCTTTGCCATGAGGATCACCGAAAAAATGATAGTTTTCAATCGTAGGGCACTTGCTCCGTCTCGACCGGCTGCTTCGAGTCTCGGTGAGGACGCATGCTTTGGCGACAAAGCGGTTGCGTTTCGCGGCTGGGGGTCGCTTTTCTCTTGCTCTTTGCATCAAGATGTCCGCTGATGATTTCGAAAAATTCTAAAGCCAAATATGACTGGCAGCCGGCTTCTGCTCACGCGGAGCGCCTGGTTGTCACTGATGGCACAACATCTGAGAGCTAATCTGAGGACACCACTTGTTTGCATGCAGACTTTGAGAACCGTGTATTGCACATTGTACATAGCCTTCGGAAACTCCTTCCATACCATTCTTCTAAAACCGCTCCCGTCTCCGCGCCCTGTACGCCGTGTAGCCCACGTATGCTCCACCCACTGCCAAGCCAAAGATGATGATCTTGAAGAAGAACCACAGCCAGCTGCCCCCACCGCTTTTCTGGGTGGTTGGCTTGTACTTGTTGCCGCTCCAGCCTTTACTACCACCAGGACCAACATTACCACTTGCCCCTGAAGGAGAGTAAAGATTCTTCGTGTCGACCTTGATAATGTCATGGTTGTCAGAGAGCTCACCCGTCTCTGAGCTGAAGCCGAGGTAGGTCACTCCGGGCAACTTGACCCCCTCGACGGAGAAACATCTTGTCCACTCGTCCTCCTTCTTGTACATCAGGTCCACCGTGAGGTGCTTGTCCGCGAAGTAGGTGATCTTGGCCTTGGTAGGGAAGTCTGGGTTCCGCAGACCGCGAGCAGAGCAGCCGGCCAGCTCATTGGCCTTTCCGTCGTTCGCCTGATCGTATGCTGTCTGCCCATCGCCTACCATAGCCATGACGTACGGAAACACCGTCCCGGGTCGGTTGTTCTTGTAGGTGTCAAAGAAGAGCCCCAATCCTTCAAACTTGTCCTTCATCCCAAACACCGAGCCCTGCTCTGCGCGCTCTTTCGTCACCCACATGGCCATGCCATCGCCAAACAAGCTCCCGGAGCCACGAATCTTGAATTCCACCTCGACTTGCCAGTTGGTCGCCGTGAGCGGGATGCGTGTGAAGATCCAGCCGGATTGTGAAGGATGCTGGCCGGTAAGGCGTACGTATTGGTCTGCTCGCACGACAGTCGATCCGCCGAAATCCCACCATCGTGATTGCATCTCCGAGTCGACGTATGGCTGATGGACGACGCATTAGGGAATGTGCTCTTCGCGACGATACCGAATTCCTACTCACCGGCTGCCAGCTGTGTGTTCGGATCGGGATTTCTCTTATATCATCCTGAGCAGCTCCCAAGCAGCTCCATATCGCCAGTAGTAGAGAGGCTGCCCACCAGAAGGCGTGCACTGCCATGTTCGCGCGCTCAGTTGCTGCTCATGTACTCTTAACGAGATCGTCGAATGCTCCTCTTCACGACGATGCGCATCAAAAGGGCGTCACCCTTGACAGTCGTGACAGGAGGTTGTTTTTCCAACTTTCAATCGCTGAACGTTTCGTGGACAGCTTGCATCTCCATGTGTCAGTTTAGAGCGCGGAAGGTCCCTCCGCGCCAAGACCGTTTGAGCCACGAGAACCTTGCCCTGGCAGCCACGCGACCACTTCTTCACTTTTGACGTCGAGATATATATACATGGGACGTCTCACTCAAACAACTTCTTGGAGAACATGTCATCATGGCTATCGGATACAGCCTCTTCACATCGCCTACAGCTGGGTCTGACCGCGGTATTATCAGGATGCATCGCGGCGAGTGCTGTGATCGGATTGCAAGAGGCCCGACGAAGATATAATGTATACGATCTCAAGGACTCAATACCGGATTTGGACTCTCCTCATGACATCGAACGGGTTCGTGCAGACATGCGACGAGGATGAGCACGGGCTGACTGACCCCAAGCCGTAGATCAATGACTTCGGTGGCGCGGAGCCAGAAACATTAGAACATCATCGAGACGACGAGAAAAGCGCTGCTCTGGCTCGAAGGGCCAGATTAGGCGACTACGATGAGGGTGAGTGTGATGGCGCGCTCTTGGTGGCACGGCTCATATGCTAAAGGAACGAAACGGACAGATCTGATCCTTGAGCAACTCGCTCGCAATCGCGTCTTCTTGACCGACGAAGGACTCGCGAAACTCCGAAAAGCATTCGTGATTGTCGTAGGTTGTGGTGGGGTAGGATCACATGCTACCGCGGCGCTCGCGCGATCCGGGTGTGGAAGATTGCGCCTCATCGACTTCGACCAAGTGACCCTGAGCTCCCTCAACCGACATGCGGTGGCCACACTGGCGGACGTGGGAACGCCAAAGGTTCTCTGCCTCCAGAAGCGGCTCGAACAGGTCGTACCCTGGACACATTTCGATTGCAGGAATCAGCTCTTCAATGAGGCGTCAGCTTCCGACCAGTTGGCTCCCTGGGAGGATGGTCAGGAGCCGACATTTGTGATTGACGCCATCGACAACATCGATTCGAAAGTCGCGCTCCTACATTACTGCCACACGAACCAGATCCCGTGCATCTCTTCCATGGGCGCCGGTTGCAAGTCTGATCCGACCCGAGTCTTCATCGGCGACATCTCCGCCTCGACCGACGACCCACTCTCCCGCACAACACGAAGGAAACTCCGCATGCGCGGCGTGAAAGATGGCATCCCCGTCGTGTTCTCGTCCGAAAAGACCGGGCCCGGCAAAGCACAACTCCTCCCACTACCCGAAGATGAATTCCAGAAAGGCTCCGTCGGAGAACTGGGTGTCCTGCCCGACTTCCGCGTCCGCATCCTCCCCGTCCTCGGCACCATGCCCGCCGTCTTCGGTCTCTGCGTTGCCAACCACATCATGCTGGCCATCGCAGGCTATCCACACGACTACCTCGCGAGCAAATCCCGCGACAAGATGTACGAAGGCATCCTCGCGCAATTGCAAGGGCTGGAAGAGCGCGTCGCGAAACACCACGGCTACGACCCCGTGGGCCTGCGACTGCCCATCACGGCCGACGACGTCGGATACGTCGTGGAGGAAGTCTACCGCGGCCGCAGTGTCGTCTCGGGGCTCGCGAGTCGACTCGCGCTCGTGCGGTGGCAGCCGCCGTCGTCGGAAGGAGGCGGCGACACGTGGATCGACACCAGCAGTGCGCCCGGCCAGAAAGCCGACCGTCTCGCCCTGGGGGATCTGGTATGCATGACCAAGGACGAAATGCTGAAGCATGAGAAATTGGTCCTCAGGGAAGGCCGGTCGGTGGGGGAAGTGTATGATGCGGAGGTCATTGCGCTTGTCGCCAAGCGACAGGAGGAAGAAAGGAAGTTCCGTGTACAGAGATGAGATGTGAGATGAGATGAGATGAAATTGACCTCGAAATAGGAAATGGGTTCATCTCTCTTCGGGCACTGTTGCTGTTGCTGTTGATGTTGCTGTTGTCCGCGATGGATGGTCATTTAGCAAGCCAATGTAATAATAACGCGCGAAGACGAGATGCCGCGTATGATAGATACTTTACACTTTCTTGTCCATCTATCTAGACTTCACATTAGCAATCTTGCCCGAGCGGCAATGACCATACATACATACATACATACATACATACATACATACATACATACACTGGGATGCCGTGGCTCTCACAGCCTGCCCGGTCTATGGCCAACTTTCTTGGCGGAGGGAGATTCATCTCGGCTGACTGACCCTGGCTGGCTAGCTAAGCTAAAATAAGCTAAGCTAGGCATGTGAAGTGCAGGAAGATCTGACCATCGACCCCGACCCCCAAAAGAATTGGAGACTTGGACAGGGCCAAACCGAACCATAGTGCCTCGATCCAGAAGTATGATACCTAGGTAGATAGATGAGGAAAATCAAAATCAAAAGGGTTAGTTAGATAGGTGCCTATGATACGGCTGGAAAGGGAGGGTACCTTACTCTGTTAATTGCACATTATTTTCCATTCTCTCTCTCGTTCTTTCTTTTGGCTCATAAGCTAGCTAGATATCTACCTGCCTGCTCCTTTCCTCCCTTTCTTTCCTCCCTTTTCTCTCTCTCTCTGTCTCTCGTGTCCCAGTCTTTGCCTCCTCCTCCTCCTCCTCCTCCTCCATGATGATGACAATAATAATAATGATGATGATGCACTAGGCCTTTCTCTCTGCCAAACATTTCAAGTATCGCATCCCCAAAATGACTCCCAAGCGAGTAGCAGCTAGTGTTTCCAAAAGACATTCCCAACACCAGCCGCAGCAAATAGTCGCGCTTTTTTGTTTGACAGACCCAAAGAAAAAAGCACGCAACGCTGTCTTCGATGACAGGTATTAGTCTAAGCCAAGCCAGAACCAGCAGCAGTAGCAGCAGAGCAGATAGTAGTTGGTAGTAATGCAAATCAAGAAAACATGGCAGCGGGGGTTGGATCCCACATCAACCAAACCAACCGAGATAGCAAAAGGCAGGATCCAAGATCAGACATCGCAACGTTCTCTCTTTCTGATCCCCACCACATCAATATCAACCAACAAGATTATCACCAAACATTATATCCTTGCTTTACGCAACCTCCTCTTCCGCCCAACCGGGTAATCCACCCTCCGTGACCCCCAACCCATAGAGACCCGACCCTAGCCCAGCAAGCTGCTGATTCTGCTGCGCCTGCTGCAGATTAAAAGCCGGCAGGGAAACGGTGCGACTATGATGCGCACCGCCGCCACCACCGCGTGCGCTATGACTCGCCTGGTTCGAGTACGAGGGAATCGGCATGCCGTTGCTAGTCGCGGTGATGTTGACGCTCTGGTGGCTTCCGTGGCCGAAATGAGTAGGTTCGAGGGAGGAGCGCGGATTGGCCACTTCGTTGGGGGAGCTGTAGAAGGCCTGTTGGGAGGAGGAAAGGTGGGAGGCGGATTGGGGTTGGGAGGGACCGTAGGATTGCGAGGAGCCTCCGTGGGTGGACAAGGCTGTCGGGCTCATGTCGTAGCGCTGATGCTGTTGCTCAGCGGCGGCTTGAGCATTTTGATGTGTGGCGGCGAGGTAGAGAGTTAGGGGGTTGTTGGTGCCGGCGTTGAAGATGGTCGAAGCAGTCGGGCCGTGCGTGGGATTGAAGCCCGAGTTCGAGGTAGGTCCAGAGCTAGCGGGCGAGACGGAGTTCTGTGCGCGGTGCGAGTGGGGAGCCAGGCCATTGATAAAGGGCGAAGGCGAGCTTATGCCATTCTCCTGCTGCGCCTGCAACTGCTGAGCTTCTTCTTCTTGTTGTTGTTGCTGCTGCTGCTGCTGCTGCTGTTGCTGCTGCATCTGCTGCTGCATTTGCTGGCTGCCGATGATTTGTCTCGGTGGGTTGCCACACCTGTCCTTGCCGAAATTGACCTTGAAACGCTTGTATTCCTCTTTGCCCCTGACGGCCTCAATTGCCTTGATCGCGTTCGCAATATTGGTGAAGTTCACAAACGCACAGCTCTTCTCGCGCAGGGTGTTTACGAGCTCGATCTCGCCGTATTCCTGGAAATCCTGCCTCAATCGATCCTCGGTCCACGTCACGTCCAGGTTGCCAATGTACACGTTTCGAGAAGCGCCTCCAGAAACAGCCAATGCAATCGCGGGTGGCAGAGCTCCGGAATGCTTTCCCCAGCCGATCTTCAGGCGTCGGTTGTGAATCATGAGGCCTTGCAGGTTACTTAACGCGTAGAAAGATGCCGCCGAAGTGGGATCGATAAAGGTCACAAAGCAGATGTGCTTGTCCGGGATATAGCGGATATGGTGCAGCAGACCTCCGCGTACGACGTTGCAGATCTCCTCGATGGTCGTCTCCGGGTGGATGTTACCAAGGTAGACAGTTCTGTTTCCCAAATTGTTGACGCCACCTGCCGTAGTCGCAACAGCAGCCGCGGCGACTGACTGCTGAGCCAGGGCATTGGTGATCAGGTCTCGGTCGGCGCCATTGAGGACGTGGGCGTAGCCAGGAGCAATGCCCAAGTACTGCGCAGCATTCTGCTGTTGCGTCTTCGAGACGTATGCACAGCGGTCCTTGCCATAGTACACCCGGCGCGGTGCCTGCCACTTGAGCTCCTGAGGAAGCTGGGTGACGGCCTTGATAGCGTTGCCAATGGAGAGGAAGTGGACGAAGCCAATGGCCTTCTCGCGCACGAGTTTCACCGTATCGATCGGGCCAAACTTGCTGAGGTCCTCGCGCAGTTCGTCCTCGGTCGTCTCCTCGGGGAGATTGCCCAGATACACGTTGCGCGAGGCGCCGGATTGCTGGACGGCCAAAGCAACAGAGGTCGGGACGGAAGATGGCTTTCCCCAGCCAATCTTGACATCCTGCCCCTTGATCGAGAGCTTCTTGAGAATGGCATCGGAGTGGAAATGGGTCGCGGAACTGCCATCGAGAAAGGAGATGAATGCGCAGTTCTTGTCGGGCAGCATGCGCACGGATTCGATCTGGCCACTGCGAACGTGGCCCAGGAGCTCCTCGGCTGACGTGTCCGGAGGGATGTTACCAAGATAGACGGTGCGACTCGTGCCAGGAACCATGCCGGGTCCCATCGCCATCTGTGGACCGTATGCACCCAAGCTACTGGGAAGGGCATTGAAGCCCGTGGTAGGTGATTGGAGTGCTCCAAAGTACGAAGACGCGCCCAGAGCGGTAGGGGAGGAGATCGGCTGGTATGCAGCTGGTGAGAGAGCCGACGGTTGGTGCTGGAAAGCTTGACTCATCTGATTCTGTTGATGGCGTGGTGCTCCAGGCTGCTGAGAGAAGCTGGAGAAGTTCTGGAACTGGGGGGAGTGGAAGGTGGAGGGCGAGCCGGGCTGGAAGGGGCTTCCCATCAGCAACTGCGAAGGGAGCAGAGGGGTGAAGTTCATGTCGAAGCCGGTCTGGGGAGTCTGCATGTCGGCGCCATGGTAGTTGCTGCTCGTCACTCGTCCGGTGTTGATGCTCGGCACGTGAGCTCGGTGTGGATGCCTCTCGCCATAGCCGCTGAGCGAGGGCTGGCTGGAGTGGAAGGATTGCGAAGGGAAGGCGGGATGGTCCGAAGTCATCGATGGCTTCACGGCGAAGGACTGAGTCTGACGGTGTCCATAGGTCGGAGCATTGGACATGGTCTCCCCGTTCTGCATGCCAAGCATATGCGGAGGCAGCGAAAGGCTGTCCCGCGGATTCGCTGATAGCACGGCCGTGATGGTGGTGTTGAGGTCCGGGTCGGTACACCGGACAGAAGGGCAGTGGAAGAAGGGGGAATTAGGAAGGAGAAACAGCAGTTGCAGAAAGTGTCCTGGCAGAGGTCCCTGTCGCCGCACATGTAGATCAGCATCCTCCGCTTTCACCCGCTTGTCACTCGTACTCCACACACCAGGTGCACAGCAGAGCACAGCGAATGCCTCTCGATGGGTGAACTCACACGCTCCAGCAAATCGCGGACTTGTAGTCACAAGAACAAGACGCGGCACGGGTATGCTGCCGACGGCACGACCAAGAGCAGCCAAGCGTCCAATTTCGGTATCCAAGGTATGTACAGCTCCTCTTCTTGCAACGATGGCGTGCAAATGTGTGTTTCGTCTGTAGCGACACTCGACTGAAGCCCCGGGAATGTGGAAATGATTACGGGTCGGTCGAATCGACAGTCGGACGGGGGATTTTGGAACGCAGGAGAAACAGACAACGGCAGAAGGGGATTGGCGCGATGCGAAGGGGGAGATGCGAAGGAATGGAATGGAAGAGAATGAATGAAGGAAGGTAAGGTAAGGTAAAGTAAAGTAAAGAGTGACGAGGGAGGGGAGGGGAGGACGGTGTGTAGGTGTGTGTCGAGAGTTGGATTGGGAGTTGGGCGAGAGAGATGACGGACGTGAAGCCCGGGCATTCCTAGCAGCGTCCTAGCAAACAGGAGAGAAGCTCCCAAGCGCTCGAGATTGATCGACCGAATAGGGATTAATTAAGGGTGGTCCCGATTTTAGCCTCGCACGGCTTCCGGGATGAGGTGGTGATGGACGGGACGGGTGTGGAGAAGAGATATGGCCAGCCGCAATCATAATAATAAAAATCATGGCGGCGATGCTCCGATCTCGACAATCATCATTGACAATGATTGTCTGCAGTGGTGTTTCGCGTGACGATGTGTAGTGGAGTCGGTCGGTTGCTCAACAAGCGCCACTCACTGCGAGCAAGTGGACGCCAGCGCGTAAAAGAGGTAAGGTACAGTAGAGAGACATGGACTGTGGACGGCGCTGGCGGAAGAGGGCTCATGCACGGAGCATGTTCCTGCAGGGCTGACGGTGCGGGCGGCAAATCACAGCAGCACGGCCATCTCTGTACTGTACCTGCGCAAGCGGGCGCTATCCGAGGCCTCCGAGAATCTCTGACCCCTCTTACGAGGGGGTCACAGCCACCTAATAATATCGCCGAGAAATACCCACCCATGTAATAATATAGATGTTCGTACTATAAACGGCCGCATTATATAGATTTTAGTATTATAAGTAGAATAGATTATATACTATTACTCCCTAAGTATAGAGAGCTAATTAAGGGTTAATCTACGACTACTTAGGCTCTTCTTTTACGTGATTTAGCCGGTTAGTACTACTACTAACTAGTACGTCTATATTACGGTATACTATCGCTATATACGCGAAATTACTACGTCTAAAAGTAGTAGTATACTACTCGGTATAGCTCTAAACCTTAACTAAATTGTATCTCTTATTAGGCTCCAATTATAGTAGGGTTTATATAGTAGAATAAGAACGAATAGAGGTCTCCGGATTTACGTACTTATTAGCTATCTAAATAGAGCTAATATAGCTCTTATAGTAGCGGTAGTTTATAATATACTCGAACGATATACGTAAATCGAAAGGTAGTATAGATATAGCCGGCTATCGGTATAAGCTGTCTTCCTACTTTTTACAGCCTTAGTAATAGCTCTATATATCGCTATACGGATCGCCTAGCTTTATACTATCTATAATAATATTTAATAGCCGAAATATACGTAGAGAGTTATCTAATTCGGCGAGTACTAAGAACAGTCGTACGGTAGTAAGGCGGTTACTATTTGTCTACGGATATAGTACGAAAGGCAGTTAATATAGCCTCTTAGTTAGCGAGCTTATTCCTTTATAGTATATAGCTAAAAAGCGTATACGCTATAGCGTTAGTAAGTAGAAGCGCTTTAAGCGACTACGTACTACTAGTTAGAGGTCTATAAGGTACTATCGTACGCGTATTTACTATACTTTTAAGGCCTTTACTTCCTCCGACTCGTAGTAGTGTTTTACCTATTATAGAGCCTCTTTTACCTCGTCCCTTTACTTTACTATACGCTAGGTATTCTCGGTATATATTACTCT